TTTTGATGAGACTTGTTGTAATTTGATTTGTTTGTCCCTTCTCCAGAGTCTTGCTGCAAGTTTTGTTGTGTCTCGCCTCTAACCGCCTTCTTTCTCTCTCTTCCTCGAAATCAGCTACGCGTAGCATCCAGTAACTCCTCCGAGCGTACTTTGCAAGTAAGTTGTTGCTTCTGGTAACCAACTTCGACACATCATCATGTCCTTGGACAATCAATCCTACGTACCATGGATGAACAATTAGATGGTCACCATACAACAAATAACATGGATGTCATCCATCATCCGCTTTGAGTTTGGATGGTGTCCATCATATTTGGGATGGTATCCCTAATCTTGGATTGTACCATCCATCATAGGGTTCGGATGGTATCTATAATGTTGAACATTACCATCCATAATGGGATTTGGATAGTATCCATAATGTTGGATACTACCATCCATAATGGTGGATACTACCATCCATAATGGGATTTTGATGATATCCATGATATTGGACATTACCATCAATTATTGGATTTGGATGGTATCCATGATATTGGACACTACCATCCATTAATCCTACGACCCGACTTGATAAATTGGACCATCCATGTACACATGGATCAGCTACTTAAATTGGCCAAGTTGTTCACACAAACAATAATTAATGAAAATTATTTTTGGTGTAAACACTAATTAACTTAAAAGGTTTCTTAATTTGACAATTTAATTTATAAACCTTGATCTAAAAATTTGAAAGGATTATTCACTTGACCAAACACCCTAGAGTCATGAGATGTTTCTATCACACACATGTCGTTTACTTTGATGGTAGCAAAGCAAACCTCATGCTTCCACTCTTACTCGATAGTTTCGTTCTGATCAACGCCAAAATGACCAACATACTTTATTAGATCGAGTGAGAAACATAAAGTGCATGCGTAAATTCTGAAATTTAGACATGTCATAGATTGTGAAACTCAAAAGGTTTTCACGTAAAGCTAATGATTCTTTGCATATATATAATATGCTTCACAAAGAAATATATTGGTGTATCGCTCAAAGTAACATATATTGATATTTGATACTATAGTTAGCAATCCAATTATAAATGAATTCATTGCTAAATTTTTTATGAGATATTGGTCAAAACTAAATTTTGTTATAAGAAACTCCCCTTTAACTTCATAGGGAAGTTCAAGCTAGAGCTCCGCAAAATCATCTGAGCATACCAAAAATAGCTACTGCGGCGATCGGAGCTCTCAAAGTACGCCACTATCGCCGTTAGCTTCTTCTCCTCCCTACACCAATGTTAGGCAAAAATTTGAGACAAGAGATTGGGGTTTTCGTTGTCAAAACTCTCTGAGAATGAGCGGAGCTAGGTGGGGGCTCGGGGGGTCCCGACTTCCTCGAGAATTCAGAAGTTATGCATAAAATCTAGTTGGTCTTCTCCCACCACAAAGTTAGCAGATCGAATCTATCCTACTCCAGATAGCAAATAATTTATTTTTATCTATTTTATTTTCATATTGAATTCTGTGTTCTTTTTGCACATATTAAACTTAAAGGTTGGTATGATTGTATGATTATTTTTTTTCATATTATAATGTTGATAGACATTAATCTTTCATTTATGAAAATATAAAAAATATGCCACATATTGAAATGTTTAATTAATTATTTTTTCCATTTTTTAATTGCGCTTTTCATATGGATTTGACCAATAAAAATTTTCATCATGTTACAGTTGATAATTTGTATACAATCTCTATACTTTTTTATAAAAAAAATTATTCAAATTTTGAATATTTATGTTCAAGGGTTCTTTGGTTATATAATGAATTGTTTTTCCAAATCATAATATTGACATACATTCATTTTCCATTTACAAAATATTGAAAAATGTGATACATATTCAAATGCATGATTAATTTTTTATTCGTAATTTACTAATTTCTTTTGAACATACTATGTAGTAATTATAGTTTAAAGTGACTTTGATGATCTCAAATACTCAAATAATATGTTGTGTTGTTATGATAATAAAAATACTAAAATTAGAATTTTTTTTGATGGTATACTAAATAAATCCCTCCCCTCGAGACTAAAATCTTGGCTCCGATCCAATATCCGGGGATAAGTTTTCATCTCGGGCATTGTCCGTTAGACGGTTTGAGGATAGCGAACGAAATGCAAGGACTTCACTGATCATTTCTCCAAGAACTATTTTAGATTCCAGGAACTCTCATATATGTCTTGATCCTGATGCGAGTAGGAGTGTTCTGTGAGTTATCTTGAGAGTTGGAGCTGGAACCCGACTTTACCCACTGACCAAGGAAGAGGGCAAAACATGTTTCCCCTCTAGCTAGGAGCTAACTACAGGTTGATCGATATCCCTGTCAGCAATTGGTTGAACAGAAACCCAACTTTGGTTGATGATTCGACTATTGCTCGACTCGTTTATAGTTAGTCTAGTTGTTTGCCTCATCTCTAAGAAAGAATTGGTCCGGAACTTGACCCATTCATAAGAAGTTGCAAGTGCGGTCATCGATGATGTTGACGACTAAAAAATTGTACAAGTAACTTGTACCCCTCCAGTATTTTCCTAATCATGATCATCCTATTAGAAGGCCAAGTATAGTATGGATCGGAGTAGGTAGCCACATAATGAAACCATAGATGAATAATAATGACGAATTGATGGTACTCATCGCTTGCTTTCGTATTCGCCACAACATTACCACTCACGCTCTTAAGCTCCAATTATTTAAAAGAAAAATGCTTCCTTTGAATAATCTTTGCTTCTACTGTAAACTAGATAGCAAGAAATGTTTCTAAATTCGTGATCACATTATTTGTCAACTCAAACTACAATAATTACTAGTGTCTTAACATATATATAAGAAACATTTCTAGCCATGCACCACCAACTACGTACTTAACTAGATGGCAACACCCAATTCCACATACGACCAATTAATGTTGGACCAATCAACCTGCACCCTCAACATTGAATTCATACACATTAATTGCATGCACAGTAAACACGATTACCTTTATACTCTGGATGGTCTCTCACATACACGAAAACAGCTAGCGTTGCACGAACCCAACAGCAACGCGTAGTCGCCTACGGTTTCGACCTCATCCCAGCTCTCTGTCATCTTCATTGATCTTGTATATATATATATGAAAGCTAGGATGGTGAAAGAAAGCCTTCGTTCGTTCGTGAGTAGAAACCTACGATATCGGCTGGTCAAACCAGAAATATATATAAGATGTCAAACTAGAACCGGTAGAGAGATTTTAGGAATATGAAATGATTGAACCAGAAGCAAAACAGAACAGAGTCTCCCTCAAACATCTAATTAAACTTAATCCCTCTCGCCAATTGTTCTTCTTTTGGGACTCTAAGCCACTGCACAGCAGCACCCATATCCACTGCTCAGCAACACTTATATCCAGTTTACCAGCTGCTGTCAACCATTGCGCGATTAAGTTGTCGATCTTGAAAGCGACGACGAATTCCGTGCTGGCCACTCCATCAAAAGTTCTACGATTTCTTTCCTTCTATAAACTCCAAAAAAAGGCATGAATAAGAACCAAGGTGCACCACTCTTTCGGGTTTGCTGGCTTCCTTCTAGGCCAATTGTCGATCACCTGTGTTATGTTTCCAGGACCTCGGTTTGAATGGACGAAGGCACTGAGGATAGACCACACTCTAGTAGCGAAGCTGCAATGTAGAAACAGGTGGTTTGCGTCTTCTTCACTAGCCGTGCACATGACACACATGCTGGCAAAACACCAACCTCTCTTCTTCAGGAAGTCATGAGTGAGTATCTTCCGTTGATGAACAATCCACAAAAGAGTGCAAACCTTTGACGGGATCCAAGTCTGCCAAATCATCTTAAACGGATAGTCCTCTAATTTCGGGTACCTTTTCTTTGCAAGACAAATGTACATGGAATGCACACTGAACTTGTCCGCCGGCTGCCATATCACCGAATCCGGATCTACAGAGAAAAGAGATAGTCCGATAGTGTTAAGTGAATCAAACATAAGGGCAAAAATTGGAGAGAGAATCCAAGCATAAACAAAGGTCAGAAACTCAGCCGAACCGATAGGATACAACAAAGAGATGGGAGAACACATAACATGCAAGCAAAAGTACTATTTATCATAATAGAGTTGGAGCAAAACATAATCCATCGATCCGCTTGAACTCAATCAATCTTCGTAGTAGCTTGAAGCCAATCGACCACCGCTCAAAATGCTTTAAAACAAACACATGTAGGCATTTGAGAATTTCCTGTAAAAATTCTAGGCATTTCTTTCCTTCCATATAGACCAACAAACCAAATGTAGCATCCCTGATTGAACCACTCAGTTGGATAAGATGTTGTAGCAATAGGTTGTTCATGAATAGTGTATGAGATACAACTCTGAAGCAAGTCCCACGACCAAATGGAATCATCTAGACAGTTGCAAAAAGGTGGCTAGTTGTTCTTGTTAGAGTGTGGTATAAGATCCATCATAACTTTCTTGCAACGACTTGAGTTATTGTGTATTGGGACCAACTGATTCTTGACATGGTATGAGAGTTGATTTGGCCAAATGGTCGTGTGTTCGAATCTCTACGACCCCCAATATTAACAGTTGAATGTATACTTTGAGATGTTACTTTTCTAGTTATATATTTTATATTTTGAGATGTTACTTTGTAATGTTTAATTGCCTGGTTAAAAATATAAAGAATGACTAAAAAAAAAAAGGAACAAAGATTTGGTCTAAAGGAGGTTTTAAATATGAAGGTTTCAGGTTTGAATACTTTAAATAATATCTAACTATAAAAAACAATATATGTCACCCTTATGTTAAAAAAAAGGAAGAAAACGCAAGAAAAAAATAAGAAAAAGAAGGGATTTGTGTGTTGAGAGAGAGACGGCTAGAAAAGGAAAATAAAAAATAAAATAAATTTACTTAGTTTTCATAATGCCATAATAATCCCTGGTACTATTCAAATTATCACAAGATGTTCATTACTTAACCACCCAAGAATCACGAGATTTAATAGATGGAGGGAGAAAGATAAACTACATGCCTAAATTGTGAAATTTAGATGTGTCATAAATTGTGAAACTCAAATGGTTTCAAAACTAATGATTCTTTGCATATATATAATAGGCTTCCCAAATAAATATATTAGTATCGCAGTTAGCTATAATATAGTTAGCAATCCGAATAGAAATGACTTCATTGTTTATTTTGCACAATATTTTTTCGTGAGATATTGGTGAAAACTAAATTTTGTTATAAGATACTTCCCCTAATTTCATAGATGGACGGATATTATATGCATATATGACACCAAATTTGCCTAGTATGCCTAGCAAAAGTTCCTTTCTATGATCTCAAGTCTGGCAATCCCTCATCTATAAGATCGTTCAGACGAATCCATGTATACCCTAAATATATCACAGAACAAATGAAATTAGCAAAGGTGAAAGGAAAAAGCAATAGTAACCTATTGTCTTTCTGTTCACATACCTCATCAGACAATTTCACCTCCAATTCTCTACCATCCTTGACCAATGGCTGAAGATGATGATGCATATGATATTGGTATGATTGAGACTTTCTACAATGCTTATCTTGGAATAACAAAGAAACCAATTCCATATTTCAGCTTCTATATATGATTGTTCTTCTCCAATCTACACGCAACTTCGGTATTTATCTCCGTCCAAAATTCTTGTTGTTGATGTCACAGACATTGTTGTTGGGGAAGGACGTGCCATTAAGAACTACAAACTCTATCATTTTGTGGTTGGGCTCCGATCCTACATCTCCAAAGGTGCTATCATCGAGGATACATTACTTATGGGAGCTTACTATTATGAGACTGACACAGACAAGAGGTTCTTGGCTGCCAAGGGCAACATCCCTATTGGCATTGGCAAGAACTCCCACATTACGAGGGCAATCATCGACAAGAACGCTAGAATTGATCACATCCCCTCCTCCCATCTCACAAAAAGCTAGGTCACAGAATGTCTTTGGATCGGGCTAGATAGAGACATTATGACTCATAAGATATATCTCGACCTTCTATGTATACTAATTAACACATTTCACCCCATAATCATCACACTGCTAGACCTCCTCATGCCACTTGTGAAACTAGAGCACTTCTAAAACTTAGTTGAACAATTTCAATTATGAAATTGATAGATTTACGGACTCACTACTTTGCTTTCAGATTTGCAACATTTTTTTTATTCACATTTGCGACATTTACATTCATATTTATTTGTGTAATTTTATATGCAATTTCAAATAACTATCTATACATCACATGAACAGCATATATAGATGTGCTACGAAAACGAAAACGGCATGACGATCAACTAATTAGTTATATGGCAAAACCCAAACCCCCACATAACGACGATCAACAACCCGGTCAACGTTGAGATCATATATTCCCGGCCTATAGTAAACACAATCCTATATATTCATACTCCGGATGATCTCCGACAGAAACACATATAACATTGCCCTTGTCATGCTAACTAAAAAATAAAATTTGATCTTGTACCACAACCCATACATGTCAAAGAAGACAAGGGAAAATCCAATCTCCGAAATGACCACGATTGTCTTGACAGTCACCAAGCAGGCTGATGCCTAGATCGTATACATCCTGTCGAAAATAGACACAATTATTTCTATACGCTGGATGATCTTTGACGCATACATAAATAGCACTCTGCGAATTGTAAAACAAAGCATAATCACCTATCGTCTCAACCTCATTCCAAATCTTCTCATCTTCATTCATCTTGTAAATATCGAACCTGTTGCTGTTAACTGAAAAATTCAAGAGCATCAACTCTCCCTCTGGACTTACTACCAAGCAGGAGCGGTATCCAAATCTTCCAACGAGAGTAGAATTCTCAGAAAGAAAAGCCAACGAAAACATGGACTCGTCGTCACCTTGCCCATCAAGATCGTCATCAATGGCCAAAACCCTTCCATCGGCCGGAGAAAGCACGTGCATCTTGTCCCTCCAAAACACAACCGACGAACTCCCCAAATTACACCGCTGAGCCTCAAAGGGGTTAAAGGTGACTAACGTCCACCGTTGATCGATCCCTCCTCGGCCTCCCAGCTTGAAAAAAGCTAGACCGCCATCGAAACCCCAATATACCTCATCACTAACTTTTTCGCCATAGCATAATACTACCACGACAGATTCCTCCGTCGAGGGATCAGCCGACAGTGCAAACCTCCTGACTTCGCGGGGTTTTCCAGAATCGAGGAGGTAGCCGCCAACCTGCCGTATTTCCGCCGGAAGAGGGATCTTCTTTCTCGTGAAAGGGTTCAACAAGTGTAGAGCGACCGACGGCCTCGGCTTCCGCGGCCGTTCCTCCAGGAGCAGCCAGCCAAACGCAGAGCCGTGACAGTGAACGTTGGTGCCGTAGTCTTTATTCGCTAGATTGATGTGTGTGATGGAGTGCTTCTTGTTGCTGTTGTTGTTGTTTTTTTTTCCTCCGCCGCGGCCACGTCGACGAAGCGATGGCACCCGGTGTCGCGGCAACCGCGGCATTGGGGCGTGCTCTTCATGTACTTGCACGACAAGGCCAGCAGCGGCAGGGATCCGCGGCGCCTGATGGCTTCGAGAAGCTCGCCGGGCATCTGTGGCCAATACCGTTGCTCATTCTCCGTCATGCCGGCGAAAGAGAGAGAGAGAGAGAGAGAGAGAGAGAGAGAGAGAGAGAGAGAGAGAGAGAGTCCGAAGCGGGAGGGAAGCTGTAAATTGCACCGGTGGCTGGTTAGTTAGGACTTGGGAGTAATATGAGATCGTCTTGCGTACTATATATTATAAGTGTTTTTGTATTTCCGATTACACCATGGAATAGGAACTAGCTACGAAGCATACTGGAAGATGGTTAATCTCTTTTCTATTAGAATAAGGTGGCATTCATTTGGTTATTTCTGTTTGACAACCTAATTAACTATACGTATATCGAAATCCTAACTTCGTCCTTACTCCACCAATTCTACTAAATAGGAATCACAATGATACATCAATAATCGAATCATATTCTAAGACAATGTATGAACTAATAATAAAAACTAATCGTAGCAAAAATCCCAAAATAATAGAAACGCGTCAAAATCATGTACATTCGGGATTCACTTCACACCCTGCTCGACAAGTAGGGGTGACTATACCGTCCGGTCCGGTTAAATTGGTCCGAATTGATCCGGTTTCAGTCAGGTCTTTTTGGGAATTTAAGGACCAAAAATTGGATTGGATACAGTCAGGTCTTGATCCAGTCCGGTCTTGACCCGGTCCGGTCCTAATTCGGTCATGATTTTATGTTGAGCTTGTGGGAATTTTAGTTGTCTGATGACTTAAAGGGTGAAGAGTTGGTTAAGTTTTGGGTGTTGGGCTCTCTTATCCGATCTTTATCCAGTTTTCGATCCGGTGCCAAATGGTTTATTACCTCAAATCTAAGCCCGAAAATTGGATATGATTGTTTGCTATCTGGTTTCGGTCCGAGTTATATGGTCCGGTTTCGGATAAAACCAAATAGCCTGGACCAAATAGCCACCCTATCGACAAGAGCATCAATCGGCCTCCCTCTAGAAGCAGGGGCTCGTAGTATTCTTTCTAATTTATGATCCCCAACAGCAAATAAATAGTTCGACGATAAAATCCATTGGAATCAATAGCTGGAATAATGAGCGTCCGGAGGAAGAATAACCGATTCACAATTGAGGCCGAACACATCACCCGACCATAGTAAACGCAAAAATTTCTGCACTCCGGATGATCTTTGACAGACACACAAAAAACATTCTACTAAGTAGGAACCACAATGATACACCAATAATTGAATCATATTCTAAAATAATGTATGTGGACTAATAATAAAAACTAATCGTAGTAAAAATGAATAACAATATCCCAAATAATAAAAACGCGTCAAATCCTATACACTTGGGATTCACTATGTCTACACGCCTTGCACGAGAGGAGCATCAATCGGCCTCCCTTTAGAAGCAAGGACTCGCAGTATTTTTTCTAATTTATGATCCTCCCCCGCAGCTAATAAATAGTTCGATAGAAAAATCCATTGAAATCGACAGCTGGAATAATAATCGTCCGGATGAAGAATCACCCGCTCACGATTGAGGTCAAACACATCACCCCGACCATAGTAAACACAAAAATTCCTGCACTCGGGATGATCTTTCACGGACACGCAGAAAACATTCCACGAATCCATGAAAAAAACACACTCACCACCACCACCAGTAGTAGATTTAGCCTCACTCCGTCTCTTTTCATCTTCATCCATCTTGTGAACACAAAACCTGACCCTCAAACCATGCCTAGGCCAGATTTTATCGTGGTTGTACACTCCTTCGTGTCGGCTCAAGAGTAGGGGTGTCATTCGGTCGGTTTCAGTTTAACCGAAAACTGAAATCCCGGTTATCGGTTAAACCGAGCCACTCCATATGACTACTGCCTACCGACCGTGAGAAAGCCACGGTTAGCTGGCCAACCGACCGGTCGGTTTCGATTTTAGGCTCGGTTAGCCACCTACAAAAAAACCTACCCCTTCTTTTCAAAACGTTTGCGTTTAATTAATAAAAAAAACCCACGGAAGAAAATCATCCCCCATCTTCCTCACAACAACTGCTTCTCTCTCCTTACCTTTCTCCATTTTAGATCTTCCTTCTCTCTCCTTCCATCTCTCCATTTCAAACAGGAAGAAGCAGCCGCAGTCGCCAGGAAATGACGACGAAGGCGCGGGAGAGGAAGCGCTCGCCTGCTGAGGACGACGGAAGCGCTCGCCTGCGGAGGACGACGGAGGCGATGAAGGCGCGGGAGAGGAGGCGCTCACCTGCGCGCGGCGAGTGGAGGGGCGGTTGGAGGGAGGCGGCCGGAGTCGTCGCCGGCTCGCCGCTGCTGTGTTGTGGCCTGTGTGGGAGTGGAGTGGGGCGGCTGTGCGAAACGAGAGGAGGGAGGATGGGGGAGGATGGAGGAACGAAGGGAAGAGCTGCTAGGGTTTAGGACGGGGTTGGATAGTTTTGTTTAGGCCAAAACGGGGTCGTTTAGCGTCGGTCGGTTAGTCGGTTAACCGGCCTCGATTTTTCGGCTAACCGCCTAACCACTAAACGCCTTCGACAACCGACCGCCACCCATTTTTTTCGGTTTCCGGTTAGCTGCTAACTGGTGGTTAACGGTTAGACCAGCCGGTTAGCCGCTAACCGGCAACCGAACTAACAGCCCTACTCAAGAGCATCAACTCTCCTCCTCCCTCGGGACTCACCACCAAGTATTACCTGTGACGGTCATGATAATAAGGCCTCAGAATAGTAAAATCCTTGGGTAGGAAAGCCCACGAAAGCACCGGCCTGTCAGCAGCAGCAAGATCGCAGGACAAAACCCTACCGTCAGCAGGAGATAAGACGAGAACGACGTCGGCGTCCATCCAGAATGCAATCTCCCATGTCACCTCGAGGAATGTTGGATCGTCCACAAAGGAGTTGAAGGGGATCAACGTACGCGACGATGACGATCCGAGCTTCCACGACACTAAGCCGCATTTCTCGTCGTGCTTAGTAACCTAATAGGTGGCGGCCACGACGCAGCCCTTTGCCGCCGTTAGCTCGGCTGACATTGCGAATCGCCTCAGCTCATGTTCAGTATCTAACGTAGTGTTCGCAACAAGGATCCTATTTCCGGTCAAAGGGTTCAGCAAGTACAGAAGACGAGATCTCCATCGCGGCGGCCGAGACCAATGTCGTCCTTCTTCTAGGAGGAGCCATCCAAAGGCCGAGCCGTGACGTTTTGTATTCGGGACGAAGTTCATGTGTAGCCGGGGCTTGCTGTTTTCGGCCACGTCGATGAATCCGTGGCAGTTTTCGCCTTATTGACATGGCTTCCCGGCGGTGGGGTACTTTTTGCACTGCCAGATTTGCCACGGCAGGATTTGGCACAACTTTGGAGGGTTTTGGTCCTGGTCCAGTTCAGCTTGTCTCCACGGCTTTCATATGGATTGAAAGACGATGAAGTCACGTAGCTTGATTATCCGGCGCATGATTGGGTCGACGAGCTCGCCGGGAAGCTGCAACCAATCGCGGTGCTCCTCCTCCTCCGTCATGTTGGATGGAGAGGGAGGGAGGGCCGTAACGACTGAAAAGCAGCGACAGCAGCTAGGTCTTGAGAGAAAAAGGCCCTCCGTCCATTATGTACAATTAATATATTAATTATTATAATATAATATACATATAATTATATATACATACATATATGTCTTCAAACTTCTTCAAGTGCAAGTCGCCATTTGGGTTTATTCACTCACATATCCTTCTCCTAAACCTCTCAAATTTGGAGAACCTCCTATTACTCCACCCTCCCATTTCATACCATTTGTTTTAGCTTTTGTCCATTAGGTTTTCCCAATTTAATGTCAATTTACTCAAATCTCTCCCAAGTGTCTTTTTTTTTTATCTAACTCTCTCATTTTATATCCATACCATATATCGTCTGTACAATCCTTGCATTCACCCGCCAATTTACAACCCACTTTTGAAACATTGTCAGTGAAAACCTAAGTTGTATCCCTCCAGTGTTTTCCAAAGTCGTTATCTAAAATCTGTATCATATTTACTCTGTGTTGAAGAGTTTTGTATCGGACCGAGTTTCATTTACTTTAGTGTTTTGTTATTTTTCTTTTTTCTTTTGGTTGAACATGAGAATTGAACCTAAACCCATGAGTGTCCATCCTATTTCGGCTAGGTAAAAGCAACTTTAACCCAACTGTGGTATTTTTAAATTTAGTTTTTCCCTTTTTGTTGAGAATGACAATTAAACTCAAACTCATGGTATTGACGAATTTTCTATCGGGATCGAGTTTTATCCACTTTTGTAGTTAACAGGTTAGGTAGAGTAAGCATTTGTTAAAAACTCATATCGACCCGGTCAAAGCGAGTTGAACATGGTGTTCACGAGTTTTGGATAGAGAACGAGGCTTGCCTGCTTTAATGTTATTTTACTTCTCTTTTTCGTTTTTTTATAATGACAATTGAACTCAGACTCGGTGCTGACGAGTTTTGTATTGAGAGTGAATTCTATCCGCTTTTATAATTGACATGTTTGGTCTAGTGTGAATTCTTTAAGAACTTGGTTCGACCAAGTCAAAGCGAGTTAAACTCAACGTCGAGATTTTTTAGTTTGGAGTGAGTTTATCTCATTTAGTGTTTTTATTTATCTTTTCATTTTAGTTGAGAATGACTATCGAACTCAAACCCAAGGTATCCAATCTAATTCATCTTATCAAAACGACTTGAACCCAATATTTACAAGTTTTTTTTACTGGGAGTGAGTTTTATTTGCTTTTTTTATTGGCATGTTGGGTCAATTGTGAATTTTGTTAAAAAATTGGTTCAACCCGGTCAAAGCGTGTTGAACCTATTGTTGCCGAGTTTTAGCTCGGGAGCGAGTTTCATCCGCTTTTGTGTTTGTTTTTTTTTTCTTTTTTATTGAGAATGCTAATTGAACCCAAACCCATTGCGTTTAACCTAATTCAGTCTGGTCAACGCAAGTTGAACCTCCTCAAACTGCGATTAGCCCTGAAAATCCATAAAAAAGAGAATTCAAGATAAACTTAATAAAAACAAAGCAAAAAGAGTACAGACTGGACAATATCGGCCCGGTCAACACAAGTTGATCCTCCTCAAACCTTCTAAAAGTTTATCGCTTAGCCGACCACATGGTGTTGTATTTGACAAACCCATGGAAAGAAAGATTAAGAATGAAATAGAATCCTTCTACTTTCATATCAACATTATTTAAACTATTACTCTACAAAATATCATGTTGTCACTCACAAGCGAAACGATAGCGAGTGGGCATATACTAGTATTAACAATTTGGGTTGAATGGCTTTTCCGATTCCAAAACAAAATAGAAAGTAAAGCACCATATATGTATGCTTAATAGTAGTCACTACATATATAAAATAAATTAATTTAAAAAAAACAAATGTATGTTTTTTTCTCTACCTCTACAACGTTGACGAGGTAATTACTTACCTTATGTTGGCACAAGACTTGGGTACTATAATATACTCGCTTGTGTTTGTAACAGCGAGCTATGCTAGTCGACGTATTAGATCGTTCTGAGCAATGGGCTGATTGTGTTTCCTTGAATCATCAGGAAGATGAGACGCAACATAAGTTTCCCCCTTGATGAACTGAAGTCGTTAATGGATGTTGAAGCCTCTCCCTTCACCAGGTTGAAGACCTTGAGGGTGCAATATCGAAAAGGATCGCCATGGTCGCCAAGCATACCTCCTCATGTGATTCAGTACTTCTTTGGTGGCTCTTCACGCTTGAGGAGATTTGAGTAGATGATGTAGTCGCATGTATGCTATACCATCTGATAAACAAACTTGGATGCAAACTGATAATTTTTATTGTTTAGCTCAAACATAGCTTAAGTACATTACGATCAGCCACCAAACTCGGCATCTGAACAACAACTTTAACTCCACGATCCTTAAAACAAGCTAACAGAAAACACCACTAACAACTACTGACTTTGACTCGACTCTTCAGCTAACAGCTACAAAGGACTCAAGTACCATAGACTAAAACATAAAGGACTAACACTCAAAATAACCAAAACGATCATATTCAAACTTTAACCTTCTCACGCCAGACCTTCAACATCCTCCCCTTGAACTGAAGACCCTTTATCAAACTCCAGTTCAGTCTTTTCAGCACTTCGATCTCAACATTATCACAAACTCCAAGTTGAGTCCTTAGCAGTTGAAACTTCTCCAGACTAAGGGCTTTTGTCCCACAATGCACCAGCTCTATCACCTTGTCTCTGGCCAGATCCCTTAGAAAATGGATCCTGACATCTATATGCTTACTTCTGCCATGGAGGATTGGATTTTTAGACAACTTGATAGCTGAATTATTATCACATAATACCTTGGTTGGCTCCTTTATGCTTTCTGTCCAGTTCATCTGTTCCAGGATCCTCCTCAGCCAAACACATTGAGCTGCAACATAGGAGGCAGCCACGAATTCAGCCTCATTTGTTGACAAAGTGACCACTGGCTGGTTCTTGGAGGCCCAGGAAACAGCTCCTCCAACTAGGAAGAACACGTAGCCACTAGTACTCTTCCTATCGTCCACATCCCCAGCATAATCACTGTCTGTGTACCCCAGCAAACAGCCTCCTTCCTTCCCTCCTTTTTCATACCAGATCCCATATCCCTTTGTGCCTTTCAAATACCTTAACACCCTCTTGGCAGCAAGCATGTGCTGCTTAGTTGGTGATTCCATAAACCTGCTCAATAAACACACAGAATACATTAGATCTAGTCTTGTGGCAGTAGTCTAGAGTAGGCTTCCAATAAGTTGTTTATATTCTGTGGCATTTGCTTGGACTCTATCACCAGATCGAGACAGCTTCATACCAGGTGCTAAAGGATTGTAGACAAAGTTGCATTGTGACAGATTGAACCTTTATGGAATGCCACTTATGTACTTTTGCTGATTGATGAATATACCATGCTGATTTTGAGTTACTTCCACTCTCAGAAAGTATTTCATTTTGCCCAAGTCAGACATCTCAAACTCAATTTTCATACTTTGCTTAAACTCCTCAATCATGACCTGACTACTGCTGGTGTACATAAGATCATTGACGTACAAACTAACCAGTAGCACATCATCTCCAGACCTTTTAACAAACAAAGTATGCTCAAATTCACACCTCTCATAACCATTCTGCAGAAAGTAAGATTCAATCCTACTATATCATGCTCTAGGTGCCTGTTTTAATCCATATAGAGCTTTCTGAAGTTTGTATACCTTATGTTCCTCCCTAGCAAACACAAAACCTTATGGTTGCTCAATATAAACGTCTTCAGTGAGATCTCCATGCAAGAAAGCACTCTTAACATCTAGCTGATACACAATGTATCCATGGTGTGCTGCTAGTGATAGGAGTGCTCTGATGGTATCCCACCTAGATACTGGTGCAAATATCTCAGTGAAATCGATGCCTGGCTTCTGTGCATACCCCTTAGCAACCAATCTTGCCTTGAACTTGTCGAGAGAGCCATCCTCGTTGAGCTTTGTTCTGAAAACCCACTTGACTCCAATTGGTACTACTCCATCAGGTTTGTCTATTAGCACCCCGGTCTTGTTTTTTATAATAGCTTCGATTTCCTGCTTCATTGCAATTCTCCATCTTTCATCTAGCATAGCCTCTTCAAAGGTTTGGGGGTCACCATCCATAGCCACCATTGCTAGCCATTCAGATCCTGTGAAATTGTAGTCATAAATGTCCAGATGAGAGGGAAATTTACAGGTTCTGGTACCTAGTTCAGCACTTTGGGGAAGACCAAGCACATCTGTTGGTGAGTTATCTTCCTCTTCATCATTCTGAGTGGTTGAAGCCATAGAACTTGCAGGTGTTGGGGGACTTGCAGGCTCTCCAGTAGTAGTAGTAGTAGTAGTAGGATTAGGAAATGAGTCTGAATCTGAGTCACCATCTTCTTCACCCTCTTTATTAGAATCGTACCAGTGAGTTTCACTACCATCCCATATCAACTTGGTAAGAACATGCTGAATATCATATTGTCATGTCCATCCTTCATTCTTATAAAAAACAACATCTCGACTAACTACAACTTTCTTTGTAGTGGGGTTAAACAACTTGTATGCTTTGGACTCTTTTGAAATACCAAGAAAATGACATTTCCTACTCTTATCATCAAGCTTTTTCCTCTGACTATCATGAACATGAACATATCCAACACAACCAAAGACTTTGAAATGTTCTACTGAGGGTGGATTACCTGTCCAGAGTTCTTGTGGCGTTCTGCCATTGTTTGCCGAAGTTGGACTCCTGTTTAGTACATGAGAAGTCCATTCGACAGCCTCTGGCCAGAAATGAGAAGGCACTTTTGTATCCTCAAGAGAACACCTCACCATGTTCATGATTGTCCTGTTCTTCCTTTCAACAATACCATTTTGCTGAGGAGTTAATGCAGCGGTAAGCTGCCTTCGAATTCCAGCTTCTTCACATACACTTTTGAACTCATTCCACATGAATTCACCACCTCTATCTGTTCTAAGACTCTTAATATGCATGTTTGTTTCATTTTCCACTTGAGCTTTGAACTTTTTAAACCATGCAAGAGCCTCAGATTTTTCTGCTAGAAAGTAAACCCATAACTTCCTACTGAAGTCATCAGTAATAGTTAGGATGTACCTTTTTCCTCCATTAGATGTAGGGGTGATTGGACCACACAAATCTGCATGTATTAGTTCAAGTGGCTTAGTGGCTCTCCAGGTAGCCTTCTTGGGAAAGCTATGTCTGTGTTGTTTTCCAATTAAACAAGTGCTGCAAACTTCTAGAATACCAGATAGCTTGGGAAGTTCCTGAACAAAATCCTTCTGCTGCAGTTGCTTCAATCCTTTCTCATTGAGATGGCCGAATCTTCTGTGCTAAAGCAGCAACTTTGATGTATTAGTGCTGATCTGAAAACACTGTAGGTCCTTCTCCCTTTTGTATTCAGCCTGAAGAACAAACATTCTGTTGTTCTTCATGGTTGCTTGAAACATCAACCCTTTCTGATCATGAAACAGCTTGCAAACATCATTCTTGATAGAGATAGCCAGCCCCTTCTCTTGTAGCTGTCCCAAACTTAGTAAATTTGTTTTCAACCCCGGGACATAGTACACATCCTGCACTACAAGAGATACTTGATCAACAATTACCTTGATACTTCCCTTTCCCAGCACATCTAGCCTGCTTCCATTTCCCAATTTCACAGTACTCTTGAAGATGGTGTCTAAATCAAGGAACCAGTGCTTATCACAAGTCTATGTGATTGCTGCATCCGGAGTCCCAAAACCACCATCCTTTATTTGCTTCAAACTGATGATCAGTCTCCATCAGTCCATAGTTGAGACCTTCCTGTTCTTCAGTGCAGGCCATCAACAACACATCATCTCTTAGTTCACCGAAGCTAGAGTAGTAAGCTTGCTGATGTCCCCATTCAGGACATTCATTTCTATAGTGTCCAAATTTGTGGCACTGGTAACATTCCACCATTTCCCTGTTCCAGCCTCTTCCTCCTCTACCTCGACCTCTGCCTTGATATCCCATTCTACCTCTACCTCGTCCTCCAAACTCATGGGTTACCTTCAAGGCCTGATCATCTTCTGATTTGTGCTTAGAAAATCTGCTCATGAACAAGCAAAGAGCTTTGCAAAACATCAACATACAACTTTTCTATGTCTTTTGATTCCTCAATTGAACATACTATGTAATTGAACTTTTTTGTTAAAGTTCTTAAAACTTTCTCAACAATTTTCATATCTGGCATCTGCTCACCACAGCTTCTCATAGCATTGGCCACTACCATTACACTATTGAAATAGTCATTGACAGACTCACCTTCTTTCATTTCCAGCACCTCCAAATTCCTTCTTAATGCCCGCAACTGGGATTTCTGCACTCTTGCATTCCCCTCGCACTTAATCTTCATCGAGTCCCACAGATCCTTAGCAGTATCTTTGTTGGTGATTGTCTTTAGAATACTCTTGTCCAGAGAACTGAACAAGTAGTTCTTCGCCTTTAGATCTTTCAGACGATTCTCCTCCAAAGCTTTTTGCTGAACCGCAGTCAACTCCTCCCCTGCTGCAGGCTCCCTGAAACCATCAATCACAACATTCCAATATTCTTTGGAACGCAACAGATTTTCCATTAATAGGCTCCAATATTCATAATCCCCGTCGAATTTGGGTATACAGACTTGAGCGAAGCTGCTGGTCTCACTCATGATGATAATCACACTAACCCAAAGGAATGGATGCCTCACAATCGTCTCTCGTGTTTCCCAACCCAGAAATTAGATATGTTTCTCTCAATCTCTCAATTGCTTGGTTACAGTATGCTAGTTGGCTCTGATACCACAATGATAAACCAAACTTGGATGCAAACTGACAATTTTATTGTTTAGCTCAAATAGAGCTTAAGTACATGATGATCAGCCACCAAACTCGGCATCTGAACAACAACTTTAACTCCATGATCCTTAAAACAAGCTAACAAAAAACACCACTAACAACTACTGACTTTGACTCGACTCTTCAGCTAATAGCTACAAAGGACTCAAGTACCATAGACTAAAACATAAAGGACTAACACTCAAAATAACCAAAACGATCATATTCAAACTTTAACCTTCTCACGCCAGACCTTCAACACCATCAACAATGTCTGTCACTAAGCTCTCATGATCTGGATAACACTTTATCCAGGGGCGGACCCAGGGGGTTTTAGTGGTGTCCCCAGACACCCCTAAATTTTGGGAAAATGATTATCCAACCCCCGGTGGTAATTTACGTATAGACAAAAAAATATAATTGATAGTGAGGGACACCCATGAAATTTGAAAAAAATGATTATCCTACTGTCATTTGTGTATAAAAATATAAATGGTAGGTTGGGTAATTCAAATCTAGAACACTATTATTATTAATAAACTTAATTTCCGTTGAGCTACAACTCATTTGGTGTTCGATTTTGAACAATGTGTAATAGTAAAAAGTTATTCCCTATCTCTAAGTATTTCAATATAAACTAATTTCAATCTACCCTTAATTTGTATTGATTTTATGATTGTACGACAAGTGTTGAAGAATCTTTCAGCTTTGGGTTACATCAAGAACAAGTTTACAAATCGAATATGCGATAAGTTCCTGAATGATTGTCTAGTAGGGTATATAAACAATTTTTTTAACACTATAAACACCAAGTGTATTCTACAATTATTTTCGAATACGAAAACACATCATGGACTTTTTTAACCTGTACAAGTAAGGTATTTTCATATTTACGATTTTATTTTTATTAATTATTTTTATTTTTTAAAAGAGGATACCAAAATTTCTAGGTACGCCACTGACCGTATCCCGCTAAAATAGTATTGTGCGCATGGTTGTCACGCCGGCCGGCGTGTCACCGGTTGTACCGGGTTCAACCGGTACCGTTTATAAAACTGGCATGACACCACCGGTATGACCGGCATGATCGATATACGAATTTCTAAGTAAAATGACTTTATTTTAGAGAATTTAATTGATAAAAATTATTTTATTATTTATTTTATGAGTATAAAAGTTAAATATTGATGTTATTTGTTGGATTCAAGTATAAATGCTTAGATATTGACGTTAAATGACATGTTTAAATATGAGTAATTATAATTTTATTTGTAATATTGACCGGCATGAACCGCACAAACCGGTATGTGCCACCGATTGAACCATTCCACTTGCTAAACCGGCACACCGGCATAAACCGGTTTGACAACTTTTTTTTTTTTTTTACAATAGTTTGACAACCTTGATTGTGCGTCTTTTGGATCATATCGTGTACTTTCTGTGTATTGTTCAGTTACCAGTGCCTGTATTTCTGGTCTCTGGGCTAATTTCCCGATCACTTTTTCAGGCGAGCTCAATATATCGTGCTACCCGAAAATACCTTTAACATATCGCGTTTTTTCGTTATATCGCGATATCGTCAATTGCGCTCTCCTCTCCGAGCTTGTTCCAGGCTTTTCCCTATCTCTTTTATCAATTTCCAGCATCCCTTCCCTGAATCTCCAGAGTTCCCTTTCTCTCCTCAATTCCCGCTCGTCCTCTTTCTCTTCACAAAATCGGTACCGGCCGGATCTAACAGAGAAGTGTTCCTACCTCGCATCGGCGACGATTAGGGAAACGTTCACCTTCGAGGAGAGCGAAAGAAGGCGATCGAGTATTGGTACTGCTAGGAGGAAGAAGTACCACTGTCAGTCCCCTCAACGCTCGTCGACGGTAAGATCTCCGTTCCTTCCTTTCACCTTAGTTTGCACCGATAACTGATGAATAGGGTAGATGTCGCAGCAAATTTCTTTTGATCTGGACGAATTCTAAGGTTTCGCATTGTCTAGGAGTTTGGATAGACAGAATTGCCGGGGTATTTGGTGAGAGCTAGACGAGATAGTTGAAGAGGAGTTCGGGGTATAAGAAGAATGGCGATAGAAGACGCTCCGTTGGACGACAAAGCGAAAAGAATGAGAGATCTGCTGTCGAGCTTCTACGCTCCGGATCCTTCAGTGGCTGCGGGCAGTCTGCCGAAAGGTGCTTCCCTGGACGCCATCAACACGGATTCGTTTGATGCGGACCAGTACATGAATCTCCTGGTACATACACCTTTCTCTATAATCGCTAAGTTTCCAGTTTGCTAGTGTTTGGAAATGTATGTACTAGTGAATTGTCAATTGATGACGGGTAGCTTTGAAGTTTGGGTTATTGCGATTCGATGTGTACTTGGGTAACCGACGTGGTTGGGAGTTGCTAGGTAGGTTGAGATTGGAGGTGGAAATGTTTTCTGAGAGATTGGGTATGATTGATTATAGGTGCAAAGGGCTAACTTAGAAGGGCTTCTGCAAAAGCATGTCGAAATGGCTGCTGAAATTAAGAACCTAGACACTGATTTGCAAATGTTAGTCTACGAGAATTACAACAAGTTTATCAGTGCCACTGATGCAATCAAGAGGTATGTGTTCACATAACCAGACCTTGCTTTGACTTGGTTTGATGGGGGTTTATGCACGCCACTTTGTTAGGAACCTTACATATGGGTGAAAATTACACAGGATGAAGAGCAACATTGTGGGGATGGAAGCAAACATGGAGCAGCTCCTTGACAAGGTCGGTAGAAGTTATTATTTACATACCAATGGCGAATGGGATATTTCTGAACAGTTGCATTACTGATCATTGTAGATCATGTCAGTGCAATCTAGAAGTGATGGAGTGAACAATTCTCTTTTCGGAAAGAGAGAGCATATAGAGAAATTGCACCGCACTCGTAATCTTCTTCGTAAAGTCCAGGTATTCAATGTTCTTCCACATTATAGGAAGTTATTACTATTTGAGGGTAGATTGTCTGTCAGGGATTTCCTAACTTTGTTAGGAGAATTAGATGCAAGGAGTGGCCTGTTCCCTGATCTTTACTTGCATTATTGCTAGGTCACTCTGTAGTTAACCTAGTGCACGGGAGTCGTAGGTTCTATTCTGCATCAATATAAAGTACAAAAAACATGGATCCTCAAGTCAAGTGTCTGAATTGTATATCCAGGTCATGGATGAGACAAAAAAGCTAATGGAACGGTTTATGATTAGTGAAGAGTTCCTCTATTAGGCAAGTTCTGTTTTTAAGTTGTCGGTAACATACTTCTATAATTAAAATTTGTGGTACAGATGTAAGCATCTTGATAGTGTGTAATTTATGAGTTGGTTTGTGGCCATGTATGAGTCACACAGAGTTGTTCTTCTTTGGAAAGAGCAGTTCATATATGATCTACCTGCTAGGCTTGGGAAGTGTATTAAAGCAGAGGCCTACGCTGATGCAGTCAGGTTCTACACTGGAGCCATGCCAATATTTAAGGTACCCCATTCTCGAGCACAGGGTTATTTTACCAGCATTTAGCATTCAGTGCTTGTTTCACTTTTGTTCTTAATTATTCATATTCAGCTCTTCTCCGTTCCTTTTCCCCATTGAACCTGGTATTCCTTTTTGACAACTATTGTGTGCTTTATTACCAGGCATATGGGGAATCTTCTTTCCAGGACTGTAAGCGAGCATCCGAAGAAGCTGTTGTGACTATTACCAAAAACTTACAGGTTCGGTCGCTTTGTGTATTCTAAGCAATGAAATCATTATCATCGTTGCAATTTCCTCTGGTCTTGTCAACTTCTGCTGAATGAGTATGAATTCTATCGGAAGACAAATACATGTGATTCAGATTCTGTTGTAAAGTCTGCGTGAGTGGGTTGCACATATATGCTGATTTATATCTTCGGACTTAAAAATCACTTTCCCTGACATCAGAGTTCTTATTGTATATGAAGCATGACAATTGGAACTCTAGCTAATGCTACATCATTTGATGTGTTCTCAATTCTCATTGTCAGGGAAAGCTATTCTCAGATTCTGAATCCATACAGACGAGGGCTGAAGCAGCAGTTCTATTGAAACAGTTGGATTTTCCGGTATGTGTTCTTTGCTGATAATTGAATAATGTTCCTCTTAGATAGGTGTATAAGTGTTCTTGTGAGGGGAGTATTCCTAGGCTGTGCTATATCCGCCTTCATGATATCTGCACTCTGCATGTAAAAAATCAAGTCTCTTTCGAAGATTAATGTGCATAGATGAAGAATAGACCATTTTTTGAGCAGGTGGATGGTTTGAAGGTGAGACTATTTGAAAAGCTGGAACAATCTCTGGGGGGTCTTCAGGTTAAGATTTGGGACATAGCTGATGCATTGGAAGAGTCCAATGATGAACAAGAGAATGATCTGCAGCTGGGTTTTGCTGTAGCACATGATGTAAGTAGGGAAAAGCACATCTGTACATCTAGCAGTTAATTTCAAGAAAACAATCAAAATTCCTTACAGTGATTGTGATCTAACACCTAGATGGTGAAATTAGATGAGTTGTTTGTGAATTTGCATTATTACAACCTCTGTGTTTGTTTTCTTTTTCATGCTATTGCCTTCAGAAACCCAGTAAGTACTTGTGTCCTTTTGGACATTTTTCCTCGTCTTGTGTGTATGAAATGGAAGTTAATACAGATATACTTAGTTGTGGGTCCTGGGTACTGACCTTTGTTAACATGTGCTGTACTTGATTTTCTTCTCTCTGTTGCAAAGGGGTCTACTCTTTTTGTGGCTCTTAATTATAGAAAACGTGGGTGCTTTTCTACTTTACACTCTCAGATTACTAGCTGCATACTCCTTTTTTAGTACTTCATTGCCAATATGATTCATTTACTTCGCTGATATATACTTGTGATATGATTTAGGCTTCTGTTCACGAGTTTGTGGAGAGTGTTCGAGCATATCGCGTTATATTTCCTGACTCAGAATCTCAACTGATTAAACTTTCTGAGGACTTGATTACCAAGTGAGGCTCGTCTTTATCATCTTCTATTCGTTAGTTTGTTGGCCATGGTTTCATCAAGTTAATACTATTCTCTTTAAGTGCATTGTGCTTTTCTTGCAATGATCTTTTTTCGCTGTTTTAGGCACTTTCTAATAACTGAGCAACACATGAAGAAAAGAGTTTCAACTGCAACTTTTCTACGTGTTCTTCGTAAGTATGATATCTCCGAGAATTTATATACACTCGTTTTCTAAGTGCATTGTGCTTTTTTTGCCTTTCCCTTGTTTTTTCTTTTTCTCAGTAGAAAGCTAGTCTCTACTTTAGGATTTATATACTCTCGTTTCCCTCCTACTACCTGTTTTTATTGTTGCAGTTTCTGATGCTTTCTTTTCAAAAGTCTCTTCGTTTGGCGTCTATTTTAGTCTATGCATGTGGTGATGAACTGGTGATATGGAAAAGCTAAAGTGGACTCTGAAGTGTAAAAAATGAAAAAGAATGGTCAATGGTCATGTGAGAAACATGTAAGCAAAATAAAAAGAGAGAGAGGAAGCAAAGGTCATCTCCTGACAAATTTAGCTGACTGTAGATTTACAGGTTGATAGGAAAAGAACTTCATATGTTATATTGCATGAGGTATACATCGACCTGATTATCAGTTGTCCCTCTTTTATCCAGAAGCTAGCTGGCCTCAATGTTTTTGTTCGCATTCCTTTGTGTGCTTTGTTTCTAATAGATGCCTAACAACTGCAGGAATTATATGGGACGATGTCCTTCTGATTGATCAAGTACTGCCCGAGGCTTTGCTCCATGACTACTGTTTTAAGGTAAATATATGTTTTGAACTTAAGCTGTACTGTCTACTTGTGCCAAGTTCGTTCCCCGTTTCTTACTTGGGCTTTGCATTTTCACTCTTCATCTGCTGAATGTGTATACATGGTTCAGGTGTCCCAAAGTGCTATCAAACAGTATGTTTCAAGCATGTTTTCTCATCTTCTCGACGATGTCTCAGGTAACTGCTACAGTTGAAAATCCTTAATCTATCTTTACCAAATCATGGTAGATTGTTGTTAGGATCTAAAGTCTTGGACGAATGGGAAGATATCAGTCTCAGCTCTCTAATGGAAGCCAGTGTATATGCCAATGGCTTTGTTACAAGAAGTTGTTTGGGCCAGAATCCCGAACCTCAGGAGTCTTTATTTCTCAAGTACCTATATTTCTAAGATTGTTGCAGACTTTGATTTTTAATGAAATGGCAGGTGCTATGATGAAAGTCCATCCCCAACAAAACAATGTGGTAGAAGAACAGTTACAGGTTGCTTTGGAAGCTGGGAAAAATTCATTACTCAAGGGAAGCATGGACCTTTTACTGGTACTATGAGAACTTTAAAGATTTTCAATTGGCAATGCATGCAGGAATTCTTAAGTTGATGTATATAATTCAAATTCATTCCTAGACAGTCATGAGGGTATTTAGTGTTTTCTCTTCAATTCTTTTATCTTTTCACGGGCAGCATTGAATCTTGTTGGTCAGGTCTTAGATTTATATTTTCAAATTTTGCTGTCCATACTTGTTATGTTTTCTTGTTTAGATCAATTCATGCTTATGTAGCTCTTGTCTGAACATTTTTATTCCAGGGCTTCCGTCAACTTCTAGAGGACAACTTAGATCTGCTAGTCAAACTAAGGGAGCTGATAACTGATTGGGTTCAAGCAGGGTTCCAACAGTTCTTTGAGGCATTGGATACTCGTTTTCTTTTGCTTTCGGGAAGAATTAAGTCAAGTCCTCAAGATCAAAGTCTGAGTGAGGGGTTGCAGTCTGAAAAAATTTCTTCCGGTCTTGTCCTGGTTTTGGCTCAGCTCTGTGTTTTTGTCGAACAAACTGCAATTCCAAGAATTACTGAGGCAAGAACCGTACCAGTTTCCTGTGTGATTTTCACTGCAGCTTCTGGGTAATATAAGTGGATTCATGAGGATCTCTCTGGAGTTGACTCAGTCTTACATGTTTGATCTCTCAGGAAATTGCTGCTTCTTTCTCTAGTAGTGGAGCTCGGGGGTATGAACATCGACCTGTCTTTCATCCCGCTGAAATAAGTCGAGTGTTTCAATCAGCCAGCGAGAAGTTTCTGCACCAGGTATGAGTAGTTGGCATGCTACTTCATATCTAGCATATTCAAACCATGTTTAGTACTTTAGTTGCTTGATCATGCGTGTTTCATGTGGCCAGTAAAAGCATTTTGCTGTTTATGAAAATCCTGTAGCCTATCGTTTTTCACTACCACACATTGTTTACTTGCTTCTTCCTTGAAACTGCTTGTGGAGTTAAAGACTGTTTCAACTTGCACATATTATACTTGACGTGATTGGTGACTCTTCAAATTGAAAGATTCCATTGTGATAATAGTATCTCAATGATGCCATCTCTGTCTTCTTTTGGGTACATGTATTGCTCTTGTGCTTGCTGGCCAATTTACTAGGACTCTTTGGCTCTTTCAGTATATAAATATGAGGACACATAGAATATCAGTGCTTTTAAGGAAAAGGTTCACAACTCCAAACTGGATCAAGGTTAGTATGATGATACCCATTGCTTTGGATGTGTTATATGATGAAGGACTGTTATTGAAATCGTGGCTTTTATCGGCTCCACCTTGCAGCACAAGGAGCCACGAGAAGTTCACATGTTCGTTGATCTATTCCTGCAAGAGGTTTGTTCACATTACTGAATGTTTTCATCTTTTCGTGTCCATATATGCAGAGTATCTCAAGATTAACGACCTGTATTTCCCCCCCAATAATTTCCCTTGGTAGTTGGAAGCAGTAGGGAGTGAGGTTAAGCAGATTCTATCTCAAGGAGTAAGGAAGCATCGTCGATCTGAAAGCAACGGAAGTACTACTTCCTCTCTAAGTAATTCATTACGAGACGATAAACTGCGACGTTCAAATACACAACGAGCCAGGAGCCAGCTTTTGGAAACCCACCTAGCAAAATTGTTTAAGCAGAAAGTTGAAATCTTCACGAAAGTCGAGTTTACACGGGTACGTACCTGATTCTCTCAAACTGTTTCGTGGGAAGTCGAGTCTGTCACTTCTTATCATGTATGTAATATATGAGGAATGGGTTCCAATGCAAACTTGCAGGAGTCAGTTGTGACTACCATTATAAAACTGGGTCTCAAGAGCTTGCAAGAATTCGTTCGCCTCCAGACTCTAAACCGAAGTGGATTTCAGCAAATTCAGTTGGACATCCAGTTCCTAAGGACTCCTCTAAAAGAGCTAGCTGAAGACGAAGCTGCCATCGACTTCTTGCTTGATGAGGTATAACTAAGAATCTACCTTGAGTTGGAAATCTGCAATGTTCATTCATGTGGTATAGAACAGACGTTGAAGGACACAGAGTATAAATTCTTTATAATGCTAAGTTTGCTAGCGGAAAATTAGTGATTAAGAGACAGAACAGAAAATAAGCTGTAGGTAGGGCGATCTTTCTGACATTTGTTGGCTGTTGATTGCTTGCGAATCAGGTAATCGTTGGTGCTTCAGATCGTTGCCTTGACCCAACTCCATTAGAGCCACCGATCCTGGACAAACTGATACATGCAAAGACTGCCGAAACCAAGGAGCAAAATTCCAGTGTAGCTTCACCAACGAGCCAATAACCATTCTGGTCAGCCAGTATAGGACTTTATTCTGACTGCCTGTAGCTTGGTGGTGCGTATGCCTGACAGACTTTTTTTTTTTTTTTGGGGTCACTTCAGCCAGAAAGGTTTCCCTGTTAAATCCTATCAACCTTGTAAGAAAGTATCAACCTTGTAAGAAAGTTTACTGTACTTAAGGATAGTTGTACTATTTTTTTAAACTGTTGTCGTGAATCTCCTGAACTATGTTGTGTGTCATCTTGCTATTTAACAATTGTATGGTCCTCAAGGGCAAGGCTGCAATAACGAATTTTTGCAAGCATATTTCACCGAACAAGCTTTCTTATTTGCCCATTTTTTATATTCTTGGTCGATTTTGAAGACTATTATTTTTATATTTAGGCCGATTTTTTATTCTCAATTCTTCGCTTATTTTGAAGACAATTCATCATAGATTGTGATTGATATTTTATTAGCTATTCTAGTTTGAAGACTTCATCAGGGATTTTGGCTGATTATTATTAGTTATTTTTAGCCTGTATGGAAGGTTATTCTTCAAAGATTTTGATTGATTTTTTATCAACTATTCTTGGCCAATTTTGAAAGCTATTCTTCACATCTTGACAGAGTCTATTCTTGGTCAAATTTGAAGGCTATCATTTTCAAATTTTGGATAATTTTATGTCATCAATACTTGAATGATTTTGAAGGTTATTCATCACAGATTTTGATAAAATTTTTATTGGTTATTCTTGGTTGATTTTCAAAACTATTCATAACATATTTTGACTGATTTTTTATCAGCTATTCTTTGCCAATTTTGAAAGTTGTTCATCACAGATTTTTGATGATTTTTTAACTGCCATAATTGGCTTATTTGAAAATTATTCATCACGAATTTTGGCAAATTAATTATCGATTCTTCGTGGCCAATTCTAAAAGCTATTCTCCACATATTTTGGCCGGTTTTGAAGGCTAATCATTATATATTTCGCTCACTTTTTTCTCTACAATTTTAGATCGATTTTGATTTTTGAAGGCTATTTCGGCATTGATTTCGGTTGGAAATTTTGGATAATTTTATGTCATCAATACTTGAATGATTTTGAAGGTTACTCATCACAGATTTTGATAAAATTTTTATTGGTTATTCTTGGTTGATTTTCGAAACTATTCATAACATATTTTGACTGATTTTTTATCAGCTATTCTTTGCCAATTTTGAAAGTTGTTCATCACAGATTTTTGATGATTTTTTAACTGCCATAATTGGCTTATTTGAAAATTATTCATCACGAAATTTTGGCAAATTAATTATCGATTCTTCGTGGCCAATTCTAAAAGCTATTCTCCACATATTTTGGCCGGTTTTGAAGGCTAATCATTATATATTTCGCTCACTTTTTTCTCTACAATTTTAGATCGATTTTGATTTTTGAAGGCTATTTCGACATAGATTTCGGTTGGATTTTTTATTGTTGCTGTTCTTCTCTGATTTTGAACGTTATTCATCAAAGAATTTGCTATCTTTCATATTAATTCTCGCCCAATTTTGAAGGTTATTCATCAAAAGATTATGACAATTTGATTATGACCGATTGGAAGGCTATCCATAACAGATTTTGGTCGATTCTTTTGAATGCTGTTATTCACCAATTTTGAAGGTCATCCATCATAGATTTTGGACTATTTTTGGGAATGCAATTATTCACCGTTCTGAAGGCTATCTATCACAGATTTTGGCCAATTTTTGAGAATTTCATTTTCACATGTATATAAGGCTATCCATCACAGATTATGGCCGATTCTTTTGAATGCCATTATTCACCAATTTTGAAGGTTATCTATCATAGACTTTGGACCCATTTTGGCATCCAATTTTTCACCAGTTTTTAAGGCAGTCTATCACATATTTTGGTTGATCTTTAGGAACACAATTTTCGTCGGTTTTGAAGGCTATCCATCATAGATTTTGGCCGATTTTTTGGGATACTATTTTCATAGATTTTGAAGGCAATCAATCACAGATTTTGGCCGATTTTTTAGGAATTTTATTTTTCAACGATTTTGAAGGCTATCCATCACAGTTTTTGGCCGGTCTATTCGAAAGATATTTTCACCGAGTTTTGAAAGCTTTCAATCACAAATTTTGGATTATTTTCGGGAATGTTATTTTCACTTGTTTTGAAGGCTATCCATCACAGATTTTGGCCTATTTTTGGAATACTATTTTCACCTATGTTACTTTCACCTGTTTTGAAGGCTATTCATCACATAGTTTGGCACATTATTGGGAATGTTATTATTCAACAATTTTGAACGCTATCCATCACAGATTTTGGCTGCATTTTGTGAGTGCAATTTTCAATGTTCTTGAAGCCTATCCATAAAAGATTTTGGCAGATTTTTTAGATTCCTTTTTTCACCTGTTTTGAAGGCTAACCAACACAAATTTTGTCTCATTTTTGGGAATATATTTATCATTGGTTTTGAAAGCTAACGATCACAGGTTTTGGTCGATTTTTGGGAATGCTATTTTGACCCGGTTTCGAAGGCAATCCATCACAGATTTTGGCCGATTTTTGGGAATTTTATTTTTACCGGTTTTGAAGTCTATCCATCACAGTATTTTGCCAATTTTGGGGAATTCTATTTTTCACCGATTTTGAAGGCTATACATCACAGATGATTTTTTTAAAAGATATTTTCACCGGTTTTTAGAGCTATCCATCACAGATTTTGGACTATTTTTGGGAATGTTATTTTCACATGTTTTGAAGATATCCATCACATATTTTGGCACATTTTTGGGAATGTTGGTATTCACCAATTTTGAAGGCTATCATCAATCGCTGCTGGTGATCTTATCTGATCTTAGTAAAAATCCTCATGCAAGAAGGTGAAGGCGGTCATGATAAGGAAAGGCTTTGCCTTATGCAATTTACCTTAAAAGCAAAGGGTTTGGCGAAATAGCATTCATTTTCCTATTCATCACAGATTTTGGCTTGGGAAATCTATTTTCACCTGTTTTGAAGGCTGTCCATCACATATTTTAGCCCATTTTTTGGAATTCAATATTTCACGGGTTTGAAGGATATCAATCACAAATTTTGACCAATTTTCGAGAATTTTATTTTGACCGGTTTTGAAGGCTATTGATCAAAGATTTTAGGCCGACTTTTGGGAATGGTATTTCACCAGTTTTGAATGCTATCTATCATAGATTTTGGCCGATTCTTGGGAATGATATTTTCATCGGTTTTGAAGGCTATTCATCAAATATTTTGGCACATTCTTTGGAATGCTATTATTCACCAATGTTGAAGACTATCCATCATAGATTTTGCCGATATTTGGAATGTTATTTTCATTAGTTTTGAAGGCTATCCATCACAGATTTTGGCCAATTTTTCGAAATGCTATTTTCACCGATTTTGAAGGATATCCATCAAATATTTTTGCCAATTTTTGGGAATTCTATTTTCACCGGTTTTGAAGGCTATAGATCACAGATTTTGACTGATTCTTTTAAGGCTATTATGCACAATTTGTAAAGGCTATCCATCACAGATTTTGGTCGATTTTTTGGAATGCTATTTTTACCGGTTTTGATGGCTATCCATCACAGATTTTGGCCGATTCATTTGAATGCTATTATACACCATTTTTGAAGGTCATCCATCACATATTTTGGCTGGTTTTTTGGAATGCTACTTTCACCGCTTTTGAAACTTATCCATCACAGATTTTGACCTATTGTAAGGAATGCTATTTTCACCATTTTTTAAGGCTATCCATAACAGATTTTGGCCGATTCTTGGGAATGCTATTTTCACCGGATTTTGAAAGCTATCCATTACAGATTTTGGTCAATTTGGGGAATGCCATTTTTCAGTAGTTTGGAAGGCTATTCGTCACATTTTTTTGGCAAATTTTTGGGAATGCTATCTTCACCAATTTTGAAGGGTATCCATCACAGATTTTTGCCAATTATTGAGAATGTTATTTTCACCGATTTTGAAGGTCATCCATCCCATATTTTTCCAATTTAGGAAATGTTACTTTTCGCCTGTTTTGAAGGCTATCCATCACATTTTTTTACTGATTTTTTGGAATTCTATTTTTCACTGGGTTTGAAGGCTATCCATCAAAAATTTTGACCAATTTTTGGAAATGCGATTTTGAAGACTATCAGTCACAGATTTTGGTCCATTCTTTTAAATTATATTATACACCATTTCTGAAGGTTATCCATCAAAGATTTTGGCCGTTTTTTGGAATGCTATTTTCACCAGTTTTGAAACCTATCCATCACTGCTTTTGTTCTATTTTTGAGAATGCTATTTTCACTGGTTTTTAAGGCCATCCACCACAGATTTTGGTCAATTTTTGTGAATGTTATTTTCACCGGTTTTGAAGGCTATCTATCACATATTTTGGCCGATTCTTTTGAATGCTATCCATCACATATTTTGGCCAATTTTGAGAATGCTATTTTCGCCGGTTATGAAGGCTACCCATCACTGATTTTGACCGATTCTTTTGAATGCTATTAACACCATTTTTGAAGGCTATCCATCACAGATTTTGGCCTATTTTTGGGAATGCAATTTTCACTGGTTTTGAAGACTATCCCTCACAAATTTTGGTTGATTCTTGTGAATGCTATTTTCACCGATTTTGAAGGCTATCCTTGATATGATCCCAATCGGATCAATCCAGAATTCACAATTACTTGCCAAAGAAGTCATCTCAACTCGCTTGAAGAATTCTGATTTTTGGCTAAGTGTTGAAACAGTTTCAGGTAGCCTACTTTGGAAACTTGTATCTTCAAAATGGCTCAATGAAAATTGGAGATCAAGATCTTGTTTTAAAGATGAAGTTGACATCTTTTCAATGATATAATTTTTGGATAAAGAAGATGTCATTGAGGTTGTTTTCTAAGGCCTCAAAGTTGCTACCTCAAAACTGGAAAACTTTTTTGTGAAGCCTACTTTGGAGCTCAATTCAAGGAGCATGGATGGGATTCAAGTCAATAGGCTTCCACAACATGAAACTAGGTATGTTCGTGAACAAAAGGAAGGAATTGGATGAAAAATTGGAGTTCTGGAAGGCTTCGAACGAATGGCACAAAGTTAGTACGAAAACTGTTTTTGGACAATTTGCTTGTGCTAAAAGGCAGCTTGTTTGTGCTTAAAGAAAGAGAGTTTGTGGCCGAGTTTTACAATGTTTTTAGAGTTTGTTTTTACCATAATTGTTTCCTAGTTATATTAGGTTTGTATTAGGTTTTTATTGTCTTTAAATAGCTTTCAATTTCACGTTGTAAATCATCCAAGTTTTAGTTGAATAAAATTTACTCATACGTTAGTTTTGAGTTCTTTGAGTTGTGTCTCAAGAATCAAATCCTTGATTTAGTTTTGTGAGGATTCCATTGCTAATTCGAGAACCCTTGTCAAGCTTTTCTGTGAGGAGTTCAAAATCGTTTAACAAGCTTCTTATCAATCAAGTAAACACCTTGATTGTGGCGAAGTTCTACCTTTTCCATCATTATCGTTCGAGAGTGTGTTTGTGGCGTTACTTTGATCAAAAGCACCCCCTGGTGCTTTATCAATCCTTCACAGATTTTGGCTAATTTTGGGGAACGTAATTTTTCACCGGTTTGGAAAGCTATCCATCACATTCTAGGCCGATTTTTGGGAATGCTATCTTCACCGGTTTTGAAGGCTATCCATCACAGATTGTCGCCAATTTTTGGGAATGCTATTTTCACCGGTTATGGAGGCTATCCATCACTGATTTTGGCTGATTATTTTGAATGCTATTGTACACCATTTTTGAACGCTATCCATCACTGATTTTGGCAGTTTTTTGGAATGTTATTTTAACCGATTTTGAAGGCTATCCATCCCAGATTTTGGCCTATTTTTGGGAATGCTATTTTCACCAATTTTGAAGGCTATCCATCATAGATTTTGACCGATTTTCTGGAAAGTTATATTCACAAGTTTTGAAGGCTATCAATCACATATTTTGTCTGATTCTTGGGAATACTATTGTCACCGGTATTGAAGGCTATCCATCACAGATTTTGGCAAATTTTGGGGAAGCTATTTTCACCGGTTTTGAAGGCTACCCATCACATTGTTTTGCCAATTTTTGGGAATGCTATCTTCATAGGGGTTGAAGGCATTCCATCACAGATTTTTGCCAATTTTTTGGAATGCTCTCTTCATGGGGTTTGAAGGCTATCACAGATTTTTGCCAATTTTTGGGAAAGCTATTTTCACCGGTTTTGAAGGTTATCCATCATAGATTTTGAGAATTCTATTTTCACCTGGTTTGAAGGGCATCCATCACAGATTTTGGCAAATTCTTTTGAATGCTATTATACACCATTTTTTAAGGCTATCCACCACAAATTTTGGCCTATTTTTTGGAATGCTATTTTCACTGGTTTTGAAGGCTATCCATAACAGATTTTGGCCAATTATTTTGAATGCTATTATACACCATTTTTCAAGGCTATCCATCACAGATTTTGGTTTATTCTTGTGAATGCTATTTTCAACGATTTTGAAGGCTATCCATCACAAATTTTTGGCTAATTTTGGTGAATGTCATTTTTCACCAGTTTTGAAGGCTATCCATCACATTTTTGGCCGATTTTTGGGAATGCCATACTTACCGGTTTTAAAGGCTATCCATCAAATATTTTTGCCAATTTTTTGAATGCTATTTTCACCAGTTTTCAAGGCTATCCATTCCATATTTTAGCCAAGTTTTGGAAATGCTATTTTTCACTGGTATTGAAGGCTATCCATCACAATTATTTTACGGATTTTTTGGAATTCTATTTTTCACGGGTTTTGAAGGCTATCAGGCTATGGATCACAGATTCGTCCCGAGGCTATTCTCCACCAATGTTGAAGTTTATGGATCATATTCTCTGCCGACGATTAAGTCCATTAGGCAACAAACAGTGGGAAATTGTTTGTGGATGGAATTTTCGTAAATTTTTAGGCGAATATTTTTTGAAGGACCATTTTACTTGGATTTTGAAGGCTACAAATCACATATTCGGACTATGAATATTCTTCAACGATGATTAAGTCTATTAAGCCCGATTTGGACGGATTTATTCCTAGCAAACTTTTGGCAGGTTCCAAAGGGGTACCATCACAAATTTCTGTCGATTTTCCCAAAATGCGATTTTCTTTCTATTTTGAAGGTTATGGATCACGGATTCGGCCCGAGGCTATTCTCCACCGATGGTGAAGTCTATACATCCTATTCTCCGACGACGATTAAGTCCATTAAGCAACAATTTTGGGGAATTTGTTTTCAAATGGCATTTTTGTGATTTTTGGTCGATTTTTTTCCTAAGGGCCATTTTACTTGGATTTTGAAGACTAGAGATCACAAATTCGGCCTAAGACTAATCTTGAACGATGATTAAGTTCATTAAGCACTGATTTGTGCGGATTTATTACATGTTAATTTTTGGCGGATTACAAAGTGCTACCATCACAGATTTCGGGCGATTTTCCCGAAATGCGATTTTCTTTCAATTTGGAAGGCTACGGATCACAGATTCAACCCTAGGCTATTCCCCACTGATGGTGAAGTCTATGGATTCTATTATCTGCCGACGATTAAGTCTATGAAGCAACAATTTGGGGAAATTTGTTTTCGGATGGCATTTTAGTAATTTTTTGGTCAATTTTTTTCGAATAGCCATTTTACTTAGATTTTGAAGGCTACAGATCAAAGATTCGTCATGATACTATTCTTCAACAATGATTAAGTCCATTAAGCATCGAGTTTGGCGGATTTATTCCAGATCAAATTTTGGCTAATTCCAAAGGGATACCATCACGGATTTCGGGCGATTTTGGCGAAATGCGATTTTATTTTGATTTTGAAGTTTACGGATCACGGAATCAGCCCGAGGCTATTCTCCACCGATGGTGAAGTCTAAGGATCCTAATCTCCGCCGACGATTAAGTCCATTAAGTAACAATTTGGGGGAATTTGTTTTCAGATAGGATTTTCGTAATTTTTTGGTCGATTTCTTTTCGAAGGGCCATTATACTTTGATTTTGAGGGCTATAGATCACAGATTTTTCCTGAGACTACTCTTGAACGATGATTAAGTCCGTTATGCACTGAATTGGACGGATTTATTCCATGTTATTTTTTGCCAGATTCCAAAGGGGTACCATCACAGATTTCGGGCATTTTTCCCGAAATGGGATTTTTCGATTTTAAAGGCTACGGATCATTAATTCAGCCCGAGGTTATTATCTACTGATGGTGAAGTCTATGAATCCTATTCCCAATTGACGATTAAGTCCATTAAGCAACAATTTGGGGGAATTTATTTTTTGATGGCATTTTCGTAAATTTTTGGGCGAATGTTTCCGAAGGGCCATTTTTCTTTGATTTTGATGGCTACAGATCATATCGATGGTGAAGTAGTGGATCCTATTCTTCGCTGACGATTAAGTCCATTAAGTAACAATTTGGTGGAATTTATATTCGGATGGCAATCTCGTAAAGTTTTGGGCGGATTTATTCCTGGTCAACTTTGGTAGATTACAGAGAGGTACCATCACAGATTTCGGGCGATTTTCCCGAAATGCGATTTTCTTTTGATTTTGAAGTTTCGGATCACTGATGGTGAGGTCTATGGATCCTAATCTTCGCCGACGATTAAATCCATCAAGTAACAATTTGTGGAATTTGTTTTCGGATGTCATTTTTATAATTTATTCATTGATTTTACTTGGATTTTGAAGGCTTCACAGATTCGGCCTGATACTATTATTCAACGATGATGAAGTCCATGAAGCACTAATTTGGGCGTATTTATTCCGGGTCAATTTTTGGCTAATTCCAAAGGGGTACCATCAAAGATTTCGGTCGATTTTCCCAAAATGCGATTTTCTTTCGATTTTGAAGTCTACGGATCACATATTCGGCCTGATACTATTCTTCAACGATGATTAAGTCCATTAAGCACCGATTTGGGTAGATTTATTCCTCGTCAATTTTTGGTGGATTCCAAAGGGGTACCATCACAGATTTTGGGCGATTTTCCCGAAATGCGATTTTCTTTCGATTTTGTAGACTACGGATCACTAATTTGGCCCGAGTTTATTCTCCATTGATGTTTAAGTCTATGGATCCTATTCTCCGCCGACGATTAAGTCCATTAACAATTTGGGGGAATTTGTTTTCGGATGGGATTTTCGTAATTTTTTGGTCGATCTCTTTTCGAAGGGCCATTATACTTTGATTTTGAGGGCTATAGATCACAGATTTTGCCCGAGACTACTCTTGAGGGCCATTATACTTTTGATTTTGAAGTTTCGGATCTCCGATGGTGAGGTCTGTGGATCCTAATCTCCGCCAACGATTAAATCCATTAAGTAACAATTTGAAGGCTACGGATCACGGATTCACCCTGATGCTATTATCCACTGATGGTGAAGTCTATGGATCCTATTCACTGTCGACGATTAAGTCCATTAAGTAACAATTTGGGGGAATTTATTTTCGTTTGACATTTTCGTAAATTTTTGGGCGATTGTTTCTGAAGGGCCATTTTACATGGATTTTGAGGGCTACAGATCATAGATTCGGCATAAGACTATTCTTCAACGATGATTAAGTCCATTAAGCACCGATTTGGGCGTATTTATTCCGGGTCAATTTTTGGCTGATTCCAAAGGGGTACCCTCACAGATTTTTGTCTATTTTCCGGAAATGTGATTTTCTTTCGATATTGATTACTACGAATCACGGATTTGGCCCGAATTTATTCTTCATCGATGGTGAAGTCTGTGAATCCTATTCTTCGTCGACGATTAAGTCCATTAAGTAACAATTTGGGGGAATTTATATTCAATGGCAATCTCGTTAAGTTATGGGCGGATTTATTCCTGGTCAACTTTGGCAGATTCCAGAGGGGTATCATCACAGATTTTAGGCTATTTTCCCGAAATGCGAATTTTATTCAATTTTGAAGGCTACGGATCAAGGATTCGGTCCGAGGCTATTCTCCACCGATGGTGAAGTCTATGGATCCTATTCTCTGTCGAAGATTGAGTCATTAAGCAACAATTTGGGGGAATTTAATTTCGGATGACATTTTCGCAAATTTTTGGGCGATTGTTTCCGAAGGGCGATTTTACATGGATTTTGAGGGCTACAGATCATAGAGTCGGCCTAAGACTATTCTTCAACGATGATTAAGTCCATTAAGCACCGATTTGCGTGTATTTATTCCGATTCAATTTTTGACGGGTTTCAAAGGGTTACCAATACAGATTTCGGTCAATTTTCCCGAAATGCGATTTTCTTTCGATTTTGTTGGTTATGGATCACAGATTCATCCCTAGACTATTCACCACTGATGGTGAAGTCTATGGATCTTATTCTCTGTCGACGATTAAGTCCATTAAGCAACAATTCGGAGGAATTTGTTTTCAGATGGCATTTTCGTAAATTTTTGGGCGATTTTTTTTGAATGGCCATTTTACTTGGATTTTAGTGGCTACATATCACAGATCGTCTTAAGACTAATCTTGAATGATAATTAAGTCCATTAAGCACCAAATTGGGCGGATTTATTCCATGTTAATTTTTGGTAGATTCCAAAAGGGTACCATCATAGACTTCAGACGATTTTCACGAAATGTGATTTTTTTCGATTTTAAAGGCTATGGATCACGAATTCGGTCGGAGGCTACTCTCCACCGATGGTGAGGTCCATGGATCCTCATCTCCACCGATGGTGAGGTCCATTAAGCAACAATTTGGGGGAATTTGTTTTCAGATGGCATTTTCGTAAATATTTGGTTGATTTTTTTCGAAGAGCCATTTTACTTGGATTTTGAAGGGTACAGATCACAGATTCGGCTTGATACTATTCTTCAACAATGATTAAGTCCATTAAGCACCGATTTGAATTGATTTGTTCTTGGTCAATTTTTGGTTGAATCCAAAGGGGGTACCATCACAGATTTAAGGCGATTTTCCTTGAAATGTGATTTTCTTTCGATTTTGATGGCTACATATAACGGATTTGGCCCGAGACTATTGTCCACCAATGGTGAGGTCTATGGATCCTAATCTCTACCGACGGTTAAGTCCATTAAGCAACAATTTCTAGGAATTTGTTTTCGGATGGTATTTTCATAAATTTTTTGGCGATTGTTTCCGAAGGGCCATTTTCCTTGGATTGTGAGGGTTACAGATCACAGATTCGGCTTAAGACTATTCTAGAACGATGATTGAGTCCATTAAGCACCGATTTGAGAGGATTTATTCCGGGTCAATTTCTGGCAGATTCGAAAGGGGTACCATCACATATTTCGGGCAATTTTCCCGAAATGCGATTTGGTAGATTTTTTTTCGAAGGACCATTTTACTTGGATTTTGGAGGCTAGAGATCACAGATTCCCTGATACTATTCCTCAATGATTATTAAGTCCATTAAAAACCGATTTGGACGTATTTATTCCGGGTACTTTTTGGCTGATTCCAAAGGGGTACCATCACAAATTTTAATCGATTTTCCCGAAATGCGATTTTCTTTCCATTTTATTGGCTACGGATCACAGATTCATCCCGAGACTATTCACCACTGATGGTGAAGTCTATAGATCTTATTCTCTGTCGACGACTAAGTCCATTAAGCAACAATTCGGGGGAATTTGTTTTCGGATGGCATTTTCATAAATTTTTAGTCTATTTTTTTAGGTGCAATTTTACTTGGATTTTGAAGGCTACATATCACATATTCGCCCTGATACTATTCTTCAACAATGATTAAGTCCATTAAGCACTGATTTGGGAGGATTCATTCCATGTCAATTTTTGGCGGATTCCAAAGGGGTACCATCATAAATTTCACGCGATTTTCCCGAAATGTGATTTTCTTTCGATTTTGTAGACTACGAATCATGAATTCGGCCCGAGGTTAATCTCCACCGATGATGAAATCTATGGATCCTATTCTCCGCTGACGATTAAGTCAATTAAGCAATAATTTTGGGGAATTATTTTTCGGAAGGCATTTTCGTAATTTTTGGCAATCTTTTTTTCGAATGACTATTTTACTTGGATTTTGAAGCCTACAGATAATAGATTCGGCCTGAGACTATTCTTTAACGATAATTATGTCCATTAAAGACCGATTTGGACATATTTATTCCGGGTCAATTTTTGACATATTACAAAGGGGGTACCCCTCACAAATTTCAGGGGATTTTCCAGAAATGCGATTTTCTTTCAATTTTGAAAGCTATAGATAACATATTCGGCCGAGGCTATTTGCCATTGATGTTGAAGTCTATGAATCCTATTCTCCGTCGACGATTAAGTCCATTAAGAAGCAATTTGGGGGAATTTGTTTTCGAATGCATTCTCGTAAATTTTTTTGGACTATTTTTTTTTTCGAAGGGCCATTTTACTTGGATTTGGTGGGCTAAAGATCAAATATTCGGCATGAGACTATTTCTCAACGATGATTAAGTCCATTAAGCACCAATTTGGGTGGATTTATTCCATGTTAATTTTTGGCAAATTCCAAAGGGGTACCATCATAGATTTCGGTCAATTTTCCCGAAATGCGATTTTCTTTAGATTCTAAAGACTATGGATTACGGATTCGACCCGAGGTTATTCTCGGTCGATGTTGAAGTCTATGGATCCTATTCTTCGTCGACGATTAAGTCTATTAAGCAACAATTTCGGGAAATTTGTTTTCAGATGACATTTTCGTAATTTTTGTCGATTTCGAAGGGCCATTTTACTTGGATTTTGAAGGCTACAAATCATTGATTTGGCCTAAGAATAATCTTAAGGCTATCCATCATAGATTTTGTCTGATTCTTGGGATTGCTATTTTCACCATATGTGAAAGCTATCTATCACTGGTTTTGGCCAATTTTTGGGAATGTCATTTTTCACCGGTTTTAAAGGTTATCCATCACATTTTTGGCCGATTTTTGGGAATAGTATCTTTACCATTTTTGAAGGCTATTCATCACAGATTTTTGCCAATTTCTGGGAATGCTATTTTTCATCGGTTTTAAAGGCTATCCATCATATTTTTGCCCGATTTTTAGGAATGCTATTTTACACCTGTTTTGATGGCTATCCACAGGGCTGAAAGTTTGGTACCGGTATTTGGGATATACCGAATACCGTACCGAATTTGTCTATATTTGATATTACCGAATACACATATTATTTCTTGGGATTGGGATTGAATTTCAATTGTTATTCGGTATTAGGGATTACGGGATTGAGATCGGGATATACCGAAATACCGATCAATACCGAAATATAAGCTAGTTTGTATTTTATCCTCTCAACTAGACTCTCTCATTTACCACTACATTACCCTCAACCACCAAAAGTGTCATTTAACTATACACAGATCATTCCATCACTATTAATAGTCGTCTCTCAACCTCCAATTGGTCAAATTAAAATTATCAATAACAAGAATTTGAGATATCTCCTCTCCTCCACTCACCTTGACAAAATCATAATTCAAAACTCTTTGCTTAGTCTTTCCCCCGTAAATTAAATAATAAAATCTAATTTATATATTTAATTATTAATTGCAAAGGTAATTAATTTCGGATTCGATAATTCCGATTGGGATATCAAAGTACCGATTGGGATACCGAAATATTTAGGGATTGGGATTGGGATACCGAAATTATTTAAGGATTGGGATTGAGATTGACTTTAGGGTGTAATTCGGTATTCGGAATTTCGTTATTTGCTATTGGGATACCGATACCGTACTGATTTCCACCCCTGGCTGTCCATCACATTTTTTGGTCGATGTTTGGGAATGCTATCTTCACCAGTTTCGAATGTTATCTATTACATATTTTTGCTCATTTCTGGGAATGCTATTTTCACTTGTTTTGAAGTCTATCCGTCACAGAATTTGGACAATTTTGGGGAATGCTATTTTTCACAGGTTTTGAAGGCTATCTATCACATTTTTTGACCAATTTATTTGTATTCTATTTTTCAACGGTTTTGAAAGCTATCCATCACGTATTTTGATCGATTTTTTGTAATGCTATTTTCACTGGTTTTATAGGCTATCCATCACAGATTTTGGCTAATTCTTTCGAATGCTATTATCTACCATTTTTTTAAGGATGCCCATCAAAAAATTTGGCTGATTTTTTTAGAATGCTATTTTCACTAGTTTTGAAACCTATCCATCACAAATTATGTCCTATTTTTGGGAATGCTATTTTCATCAGTTTTGAAGGCTATCCATCCCAGATTTTGGCACATTGTTAGGAATTCTATTTTTCACTAATTTTGAGGGCTATCTATCACCAATTTTGGGGAATGCAGTTTTTCAACGATTTTGAAGGATGTCGAACATCTTTTTTGGCCTATTTTTGGGAATGCTATTTTCGCTGTTTTTGAAGGTTATCCATCAAAGATTTATGCTGGTTTTTTGGGAATGCTATTTCAACCAGTTTTGAAAACAATCCATCACAGATTTTGTCATATTTTTGGGAATACTATTTTCACAGGTTTTGAAGGCTATCCATCACAGATTTTTGCTGATTTTTGGGAATTCTATTTTCACCAATTTTGAAGGTTATCCATCACAGATTTTGGACAACTCTTTTCAATGCTATTAAACACCATTTTTTAAGGTTATCCATTATAGATTTTGGCCGATTGATTGGAATGCTATTTCACTCGTTTTGAAGGCCATCCATCTCATATTTTGGCGGTTTTTCGGAATTCTATTTTCACCGGTTTGAAACCTATGCATATTTTGGCCTATTTTTTGGAATGCTATTTTCACTAGTTTTGAGGGCTATCCATCACAGATTTTGGTCAATTCTTAAGAATTCTATTTTCACGAGTTTTGAAGACTATCTATCACTGGCCAATTTTGGAGAATGCCATTTTCACTGGTTTTGAAGGCTTTCCATCACTTTTTTTGGCCGATTTTTGAGAATGCTATCTGTAACATCCTGAACCTTTTCCCGACAATATACTGTCCGCTTTAGGCCTCTACACGCGCACGGTTTTCGACTTGGGGTGCAATTCAAGGTGACTTCCCATAAGGTCACCCATCCTTGTTGTACTCCACACTGAGCATGTTTAACTTCGGAGTTCTCACAAGAACTCCTCCATTACATCCCAAAACGCGTCTTATCAGTTAAGGTCGGTTTCCTACTTATGAACCATGGGTCTCTCCCGTGCTTTGTCGATGTGGGATTTGCCTAAGGTGTTACATACACCCCCCCCCCCCCCCTTGGGACTCAACGTCCTCGTTGAGGTTTGCCCCATCATCGTTCAAGAGGGACGCGGAGAGGCTCTGATACCACTTGTAACATTCCGAACCTTTTCCCGACAAGATACTGTCCGCTTTGGGCTTCTACACCCGCACGGTTTTCGACTTGGGGTGCAATTCAAGGTGACTTCCCATAAGGTCACCCATCCTTGTTGTACTCCACACTGAGCACGTTTAACTTCGGAGTTCTCACAAGAACTCCTCCATTACACCCCAAAACGCGTCTTATCAGTTAAGGTCGGTTTACTACTTATGAACCATGGGTCTCTCCCGTGCTTTGTCGATGTTGGATTTGCCTAAGGTGTTACACTATCTTCACCGGTTTTGAAGGCTATCGATCACAGATTTTCCCCAATTTTTGGGAATGCAATTTTCACCTATTTTGTTGGGAGGGCCCGGAGACGATGGAGCACCTATTCCTTTACTGTCCGGTGGCGCGGGCCCTCTGGGACTATTCAGGGTTGGAATATTTGGGGGAGGGGTTGCCTCGACACACTTTTCCTTTGTTTCTAAATCGTTTGTTGGCGCTAATTCATCAACCGTCGTTGGTTATGGCTGTTGTTCCAGTCCTTTGGAGGATCTGGCGATCTCGGAATTGGGTTGTCTTTGAGGACAAGCAATTTGGGTTCCCGACTCTCATGCGCCAGTTTCAACAACAGTATGAGGAATGGGTGGGCCTCCCTGTGGATCGGACTCCGATGATAATTACCCCGGTGATGCAACCAACAATGCAGGTGGGTGGTTCGCATTTGGTATGCATGTGGGGCGGGGCTACTAAGTGTGGATCGCATTCGGCTGGTGGGATGGTTCTCCTTGACCCTGAAAGGAGGATTCTGCTGGCTAAAGGGGTTCAGTTTTCTCAATTGGATGACCCACGGATGGTGGAATTGCTTGTGCTTAGGGACGCTATTATTTGGTGTATGGAGCAAGGCTTATCGGAGGTCCGCTTTGAGGGCGATGCGAAGGTGGTTATTGACAAAATTAATCAAGCCAATACGAGGGATAGCAGGTTGGGTGTTGTTTTGGAAGAGATTGGTCATTATTTTCGTATTCAATCTGGTTTTAGTGTGCGCTTTGTGGGTCGGGAGAACAATAGGGTAGCTCATTTGGTAGCTAGGAAAGCCCTTTCTTTGTTTCCGACTATGAGTCGCTTTTTCGATTTCCAGTCCTGGCTGATTTCCAGGGTGTAACTATCTTTTTTATGATCAATACATGATATCTTTTGACAAAAAAAAAATATTTTCACCTATTTTGAAGGCTATCCATCACAGATTTTGGCCAAGTTTTGGGGACGCTGTTTTTTATTGGTTTTGAAGGCTATCCAACACATTTTTTACCGGTTTTGGGAATGCTATTTTCACCGATTTTTAAGGCTATTCATCACAGATTTTTGCCGATTTTTGTGAATGCTATTTTCATCGGTTTTGAATGATATCCATCACATATTTTGGCTGATTCATTTGGAAGCTATTATACACCATTTTTGAAGGCCATTCATCACATATTTTGGCCGGTTTTTTGAAATGCTATTTTCACCGGTTTGAAATCAATCCATCACATATTTTGGCCGATTTTTTGGAATGCTATTTTCACGGATTTTGAAGGTTATCCATCACATTTTTTGCCAATTTTGGGGAATGCCATTTTACACTGGATTTGAAGGCTATCCATCACATATTTTGACCGATTTTTAGGAATGCTATCTTCAGCAGATTTGAAGGCTATCCATTACAGATTTTTGCCAATTTTTGGGAATGCTATTTTCACCGACTTTGAAGGCTATTCAACACAGATTTTGGCCTATTTTGGTGAATGCTATTTTTCACCATTTTGACTTTTGAAGACTATCCATCACATTTTTTACCGATTTTTTGGAATGCTATATTTCACCGATTTTGAAGGTTATTTGTTTCAGATTTTTGCCAATTTTTGGGAATGTTATTTTCACTTGTTTTGAAGGCTATCCATCACAAACTTTGGCCTATTTTGGGGAATGCTATTTTTCACCGGTTTCGAAGACTATCCATCACATTTTTTACCATTTTTTGGAATTCTATTTTTCACTGGTTTTGAAGGCTATCTATCACAGATTTTGACCAATTTTTTAGAATGCTATTTTCACCGGTTTTGAAGGCTATCAATCACAGATTTTGTCCGATTCTTTTGAATGCTATTATACACCATTTTTTAAGGCTAACCATCAAAGATTTTGGCCGGTTTTTTGGAATGCTATTTTCACCAGTTTTGAAACCTATCTATCACATATTTTGTGCTTTTTATCGTATTTTGGGAATGCTAATTTCACTGGTTTTTAAGGCTATCCATCACAGATTTTGGCCGATTTTTTAGAACGCTAATTTCACTGGTTTTGAAGGCTATTCATCACATATTTTGGCCGATTCTTTTGAATGCTCTTATACGCCATTTTTGAAGGCTATCCATCAAAGATTTTGGTTGGTTTTTTGGAATGCTATTTTCACCTGTTTTGAAACCAATCCATCATTTATATTGTCCAATTTTATCCTATTTTGGTGAATGCTATTTTCACCGGTTTTGAGGCTATCCATAACAGATTTTGGCCGATTTTTGGGAATGCTATTTTCCCCAATTTTGAAGGTTATCCATCACATATAGGGATGGCAATAAAACCCATGACCGCGGGTATCCGACCGCCCCCGACCCAGTCAACGCGGGGAATCCCCGCTTTGACCGGGTATGGGGCGGGTATGGGTAAAACTCGCAAAAAGTTTGATGGGTATGGGGCGGGTATGGTTTTGACCTCCCCCGCCCCACCAAGAGAATTTCTTCACATATAAAAAAAAATATGTGGATTAAATTGTAATCTATCAATGGTGATGAGGATAACTCAAGGAAATAAATAGTAAAAATGCAATTGAGTGACCATTTTAATCAAAATCTAATTCATTTCCCTCAATTCTCCTTTCACTCTTTCACTTTTCCCCTTATCTACAAGATTATGTTAGTTAATTATTACTTAGTAGATGTATAAGAGTTAGAAGATAATAATTTGAAAAATATTATACTCTATATTATGTATTAATGGATGTTTTAGGATCATATACTTTGAACCGTATTAAGAAAATGATCGTGTTTTGTTGACTTTATGATATAATAGGTTCGTTTAGAGTAATAATTAAAACTTTTCTTGTAAATTTTAGGTATAATAATGTTGGATGTATGGGTACGGGTATTACCCATGGGTACCAGAAACCCACGGGTATGGGGATGGGTTTGCAAAACATTCCCCCGCATGGGTATGGGGCGGGTATGGGTTTGGGTATTTGAAGATGGGGATGGGGATGGTTTAGACAAACCCGCCCCATTGCCATCCCTAAATTCACATATTTTGGCCGATTCTTTTGAATGCTATTATACACCATTTTGTAAAGCTATACATCACAGATTTTGGCCTATTTTTAGGAATACTGTTTTCACCTATTTTGAAGGCTATCCATCATTGATTTTTGCCGACTGGGAAATGCTATTTTCACCGGTTTTGAAAGCTATCAATCACATATTTTGGCCGATTCTTTTAATTCCTATTATACACAGATTTTAAAGTCTATCCATCACAGATTTTCCCCTATTTTTTGGAATGTTATTTTTACCGGTTTTGAAGGCTATCCATCACATATTTTCGCCGATTTTTTTGAAATGCTATTATACACAATTTTTGTAGGCTATCCATCACAGATTTTGATTAATTTTTTGGGCTATTTTCATCGCTTTTGAAGGTTATCCATTGCAGATTTTTGCCGATTCTTTTTAATGCTATTATACACCATTTTGAAGGCTATCCATTACAGATTTTGGCAAATTTTTTGGAATGCTATTTTCACCGATTTTGAAGGTTATACATCACTGATTTTCCCCCCCAATTTTTTGGAATGCTATTTTCACCTGTTTTGAAGGCTATCCATCACAGTTTTTTTCCGATTCTTTTGGATGTTGTTCTACACCATTTTTTAAGGCTATCCATCACAAATTTTGGCCAATTTCTGGGAAATCTATTTTCACCAATTTTAAAGGCTCTCCATCACAGATTTTGGCCGAGGTTTTGGTATGCTATTTTGACCTACTTTGAAGGATATCCATTCCAGATTTTGGCTTATTTTGGGAAAGCTATTTTCACTGATTTTGAAGGATGTCCATCACAGATTTTGACCTATTTTTGGGAATGCTATTTCACCTGTTTTGAATAGGATGTCCATCTCACATTTTGTTAGATTCTTGTGAAAGCTATTATCACCAGTTTTGAAGGCTATCCATCACAGATTTTGGCCAATTTTGGGGAATGCCGTTTTTCACCTATTTTGAAGGCTATACATCACATTTATTGGCCGGTTTTTTGGAATTCTATTTTTACTGGTTTTGAAGGCTATCCATCACAGATTTTGTCCGATTTTTGGAAATTCAAATTTTCACTGGTTTAGAAGGCTATCCAGTACCGATTTTTCCAATTTTTGGAAATGCTATTTTTCATCGGTTTTAAGGCTATCCTTCACATATTTTGGCCAATTTTTGAGAAAGCTATTTTCACCGATTTTAAAGGCTCTCCATAACAGATTTTGATCGTTTTTTGGGAATGCTATTTTCACCTTATTGTAGGCTATCCATCACAAATTTTTGCCAATTTTTTTGAATGCTATTTTTCACTGATTTTGAAGGCTATCCATTATAGATTTTGGCTTATTTTTGGGAAAGCTATTTTTACCGATTTTGAATTTTATACATCGCAGATTTTGACCATTTGTTGGGAATGTTATTTTTACCTGTTTTGAAAAGACTATCCATCACAAATTTTCGCCGATTCTTGGGAATGCTATTTTCACCGATTTTGAAAGTTATCCATTACAAATTTTGGCAATTTTTCGGAATGCTATTTTCACCGGTTTTGAAAGCTATCCATCACAGATTTTGGTCGATTCTTGGGAATGCTATTTTCATCAGTTTTGAAGGCTATCCATCAAAAATTTTGGCCAATTTTTGGGATGCTATTTTTCATCGGTTTTGAAGGCTATACACCACATTTTCTGGCGGTTTTGAAGGCTATCCATCAAAGATTTTGACCAATTTTTGGGAATGTTATTTTTCTCCAGTTTTGAATGCTATCAATCATAGATTTTGGTTGATTCTTTGGAATGTTATCATTCACCAATTTTTAAGGCTATCTATCATAGATTTTGGACTATTTTTAAAAGAACATTTTTCACCAGTTTTGAAGGATATCCATTAGAGATTTTGGCCGGTTTTTGGGAAATACTATTTTCATCGATTTTGAATGCTATCTATCACAGACTTTGACCGGTTTTTGGGAATGTTATTTTCACTGGTTTTGAAGGCTATCCGTCACAGATATTAGCTGATTTTTGTGAATTTAATTTTTCACTAGTGTTGAAGGCTATCCATCACAGATTTTGGCCGATTTTTTGGAATGCTATATTTCACTGGTTATGAAGGCTATCAATCACAGATTTTGGCCGATTTTTTAGAATGCTATTTTCACTAGTTTTGAAGGCTATCCATCACAGATTTTGGTGTATTTTTTTAATGCAATTTTTTACTAGTGTTGAATGCTATCCATCACAGATTTTGTCACGTTTTTGGGAATGCTATATTTCACCGGTTTTGAAGGCTATCCATCATAGATTTTAGACCATTTTTGGGAATGCTATTTTCACCGGTTTTCAAGACTATCCATCACAAATTTTGGCCAATTTTGGGGAATGCTATTTTTCACCTGTTTTGAAAGTTATCCATAGCATTTTTTGCCGATACTCTGGAATGCTATTATTCGCTATTTTGAAGGCTATCCATCACTAATTTTAACTGATTTTGGGGAATGCTATTTTCCACCAGTTTTGAAAGCTATCCATCATAGATTTTTGCCGATTCTGTTGAATGCTATTATTCACCGATTTTGAAGACTAATCACAGATTTGGCCTGTTCTTTTGAATGTTGTTCACCGGTTTTGGACACTATCCATCGCAGAGCAGACTCAGGCATGGATGTTGCAACTGGGGGCCCGAACGGGACGGTAGATTTATCGTCCGGTTGACCTATGACCTTGTCGTTGGCTAGGAGAGCTATGAACACGACTCTTATTGGCTCACCATTTTGAGGTGGAGAGAGCTAGCTAGAGTTTAGCATTTTCTTGTGGCTAGCAACTCGGTAGAAACTACTCACAAACGCTAACAGGGGGTCGATGCCACCTGACCAACTAAAACCTGTGCACCAAGTGCAATTCAACTCGAGAAACAATCTTACCTGTGTTGCGATACTGCCCTTTTGTCAAGTTAACTTGGATGTATTTGATCCATCCTTATGAATGCCAACAATTTTATAAATGCAACGGCAAGATTGGATTCTAAAGAATCTTTGGACATAGCACACTAGCCTTCAGTTTGGCATTACATGCATGCCCTTATAGAGGACCAAAAATGAACGAGTTCACGCAAACAAGGTCATACCAGTGCGATACTGCCCTTTTGTCAAGTTAACTTGGATGTATTTGATCCAGCCTTATGAATGCCAGCAATTTTATAAATGCAACGGCAAGATTGGATTCTAAAGAATCTTTGGACATAGCACACTAGCCTTCAGTTTGGCATTACATGCATGCCCTTATAGAGGACCAAAAATGAACGAGTTCACGCAAACAAGGTCATACCAGTGCGATACTGCCCTTTTGTCAAGTTAACTTGGATGTATTTGATCCAGCCTTATGAATGCCAGCAATTTTATAAATGCAACGGCAATATTGGATTCTAAAGAATCTTTGGACATAGCACACTAGCCTTCAGTTTGGCATTACATGCATGCCCTTATAGAGGACCAAAAATGAACGAGTTCACGCAAACAAGGTCCTACAACACATTTTGGTTTGGATAAATGTCGTGAGGAGAGGACTGCCATGGAAAGGATCGCACTGTCCACCATCCAAATCTGCTCACAAGAACGAGGGAGCTGATCTCCTTGAAGTTGCCTCCTCCCAAGTGGGTAACTCTCAACTCATATGGCTCTGTCATCCATGATGTAGGCTCTGTTGCTGCAGGGGGCCTCCTTCGAGATCATTTAGGACATTGCATTGGTAGCATACTAGCGTTCTCTATTAACTATGAGATTTGTTTAGTCACCCTAGCAGAGTTGAGAGGTTTTGTAGAAGGTCTTCAACTAGTTTGGGATCTCGGTTACAAACGACTCCATGTAGAACTAGACTCGCGATGTGCTCTCTAGCTTCTCAATTCTAGTGCACACACAAATCATTAGCATAATGCTATTATTGACTGCCTCTAGACCTTGATTAGGCTTGACTGAGAGGTTGTTTTTTCTCATGTTTATAGAGAAGGTAATAAGTATGCGTACTACATAGAATGGAGGGGTCATTGTCTACCCCTTGGTTTTCATTTATTCATATTAATGATTCTATGTTACTGCATTGAACAAGGTTGTCAAACCCGTTTAAGCCATCAAGCCGGTTTGACAAGTGGTTTGAGGTTTAATGGTTGGATAAGGTTCAACCAGTTCAAATAGGTTTTAACATGATATGTGAGGAAACCTATAATACCAAATAGATTATGCATATATTTGACATATATTAAAACAATCTCACTAATATACATTCATATCACCAAATTATTTTTGCAAAAAAAAATATTACAAAATTATCAATCCTCATCTTCAAACCCGATTTTGACTGGTCAGACCATCCAGTTTTAATTAGATAACCCAATTTTGATTTATTCTATAACTGTCAAACCGAAGTGTATTCCAACTATTCAGATTATCAGTTTTGATTGAACTGGACGGCCGGATACTGGTTTAACAACCTTGGATTTGAATTTTGTATGAGAATTTTTGAACCCCGACCGGTTGTGAATTTAGGGCTGGGAAACGATGCGGTCTGGTCCAAATCGGACCATTTATACGATTTACGGTCCAGACCGAGAGACTGGAGTATAGACCACAGACTATACGGTCCAGACCAAACCACACATGTGCGGTCTGGTCCAGATAGAACACACTAAACGAAAAATGAACAATTTGATTATTCAACCACGCAAAAGATTGAACCAATAGCCAAGAAAAAATAATTTTTATGCGTTAAAACATAATTTTCAACATGCATGGATAATTTTGACACCATAAATCTCAATAAATAATATAAAAATATAAAGTTAAAGCATCCATACTTGCACCATAACGTCATAAACATTTACTTAATGTCATATGAAGACACGATCGTCACTACTCTCAGGTGAAATGTGGTTGTGAATGAAGGTGGGGACGAGATTCTCAAAATTCATTGTGGGAGTTGGGAGAGGGATCGAGTCGACTACTAACACATATTGAGAAGTCGGCTGGGTCCACGGTTTGGGGACAAACCGCGGTCTAGACTAGACGAGACCAAGAGTTCTAAACATCATATAATACAGACCATGGAGATGGAGCAGATCAAACCATACTTAACGGTCTACGGTTCGGATCAAATTATACGATCCGGACCATGGTTTTTCAAACCGTCTGGTCTATTTTCTCAGGGTATGGGAATTGCATCCATTTATAAATAAGAAAAAAAAGTCCTTCCATGCAACTGATAATTTCTACTCTCCCCGACCTCTCAACTTCACTCTCGCCCTGTGTTCGCCGCCGCAGCTTCCAATCTGCCATTGTCAGTCGCCTCCTCGGCTCGCTATTTACTGCCGTCGCAGCTTACTTCTCCGCTGGTGAGATCTCCGTTCCTTCTTTACCTCCTGTTGGCTTCATTTTGTGCGGTCCATCTGTTCTTCCTATCTATTTCGCACCTTACTTTGAACCGATGAATTGGTGAATCGATATCAATCGACTCTGTTCCTGCCTTCCGTTGCATGCTTAGACCCAACATTATTTGAAAGATTGAGATTAGGTCCTGTTAAATTTCAGAGTTTATGTTGAACCCTAGATTCGGCTATTGATCCCTGACCTAGTAATCTTGCCTGAGTTTTGAATGCTGATTTAGTCTGGAAACCCTTAAGAATCCTGTAGATGATTCAGTTCTAGTGATCTGAATGCCAATAAATTAACTGTGGTGTACAGTTCCTGGAAGAGGAAGTGAGGAGAGGGGTTTATTATGGCGGCAGCAGCTGGAGATGTTGACAGATTAAGCGATCTTCCGGACAACATTCTGCATCACATTCTCTCCTTCCTCGACACCTTGTCCATCGTCGAGACCAGCGTCCTGGCCAGGAGGTGGAGGAGCTTGTGGAAAGATGTTCCCGTCTTAAATATCTGGAGAAAGTACCGCAATTCGTCAACCTTTTCTTTCAAGGAACACATAAGCAAGCTTCTGTCTCTCCGATCCCACCATGTTGCTGTGGCAGAGGTGAACTTCGACTACTGTCGTTGGGGAGCGACATTATCAGAAAAATTCGAAATGTTTGATAGTGTTATGAAAAATGCTGCCTCCCAATCCCAAGGTAATGGTGGTGGAAGTCATCTTCATCGTTTGTCAATTGTCAGTCCTTCTACCATTGACTTCACTGACATGGCTGCCTCCATCGTTGCGAATCATCACCATGATTCACTCAAGACGCTTAAGCTGATGAGGATGAATCTTGTATCAGCACCGACTTCAGGGTTTAAGTCCCTGACAGCTCTGGAACTGTTTGACTGCTGCCTTGGTCCCAATACTTTTGCTAACTTCCCTGGTTTGAGATACCTAAAGCTACAGGGTTGCATCTCCAGGAACTTGAAAGTGTCAGGACTGGAGCTCGTGCACCTGGAAATTCGAGAGGCACATGGTTCATCTATCAGGTCTATGGAAGTTTCTGCTCCAAAGCTCAGATCTTTCTTTTTCCGGGGTACTGATCCTCGTCGTAAATGGTCGCCAGTGCTGAACCTTCCTGCCCTGGATCATGCAAACGTCCATGTTCTTTGGTTTAACTCGACCAACGGTTTTGGTTATACGAAAGAAGAAGCTGATCGTGCATGCCTAAAGCTGTTGAGTGGTTTGCATAATGCTGAATCGCTCATCCTCTGCTTCGACAACTACAATTATAAGGTACATAACTTGAGTAACCAAGAAATAACCAGGGTTCAAGTAATGTGTGCTTGGTAACTTAACTAGTGCCATGCTGATATACTTAGGTTTCTTCATATCTGGCACAGTAGGTATTAGAGAATACTTGCATGTTTGTACTAGTTTACTATGGTAGTTCGTATCTTGGATCACCCGACTCGTGGTCTGATACTATGTTCTTACCAGGAAGATACGGACAAGAACTCTCCTCTTACCGAACTGAACTCATCGCTAACGGAGCATGAAGTATCTCCCTTCACAAGATTGAAGACCTTGAGGGTGCGGTACCGAAAAGGATCACCAACACAAACCATACCTTACCGAGTGATTCGCTACTTCATGGATGGCTCTCCTAATTCAGTAGACAAATCTTTTGGGATCGAGAAGATTGAGGAGAAGATGTGATTGATCTTCAATGTTTGTTGCCGTTACTTCTGTCCATATTGCTCGAAATGTGTCTGGTTAGCGTGAATTTTGCGAACTTTTTCATGTTCATTCAAATGTGTTCTGATCCTCGAAAGCAGACTTTCACCGAGTAGTTATCTCGATCTCTCTTTGATCTATCACTCGAAATCTGTCCATCATGCTGCTGTTGCAGAGTTTAACTTCAGCTACTATACGGATGGGGAGAAACCACATTATTAGAACTATTCGATCGATTCAGTCGTTGCACCCTGTACTTAACTGGCATGGCTGCCTCCATTGTTGCTAATCATCACCATGATTCACTCAAGACGCTTAAGCTGACAAGGGTGAGGCTTTTAACAGCACCAACTTTGGAATTTGAGTCGCTGGCAACTCTGGACACGGATCTGGATTATTGGGAGGATCGACACAAGCTGCCGAGAGCTATAGGCGATTGAAGAGTTTGGGGTATAGCCTTTTAGATTTAGGGTCTCGATTCGATATAACATGAATAGTTTTTAATTATTTTTAATTTTCCGTTTTCTTTTCTAATGCACAATTCAATGATTTTCATGATATTCAATACCCTATTTTCACTTTAGTGACACTCTTCTTTCAAATTCTCATATTTTAGCGGTATATGATGTATTTCTCCCTTCTTTTACCTTTTTGCTGGCTTGATTGCCTTGTCTAGCTAACTTACCAAAAAAGTCAACTTGTCACTTGTCATGAAGTGATCAGCCGTCTCTCATAGCCAAAGTATATAAGTGATATAACTATACATAATTAATTGCCGACCTTCTTTGATTAGTTAATGATTCGTCAAATGGCCTAATCACAAATGGTACGAAGGATTAGGGCTGGGAAACGGTGCGGTCTGGTACAGACCAGTCCATATATACGGTCTATGGTCCAGATCGAAAGGCTGAAGTATAGACCACAGACCAGACCATAGACTATACGGTCTAGTCCAGACCACGCCTGTGCGGTCTGGTTCGGTCTGGTCTGGTCCAGATAGACCACACTCAACGAAAAATGAATAATTTGTTTAGTCTACCACACAAAAATTGAACCAATACCAAGAGAAATAACTGTTATGGAGACATAATGTAACAAAGATAGAAAGTAAAAGCATCCCAACTTGTAGCATAACGTCATAAACATTAACATAATGTCATATGGAGACACAATTATCTCTACTCTCTGATTAAATGTGGTTGTGAATGAAGGAGGGACGTGATTCACAAAACTAAGGTTGATACTTGGGTGTTGTTGTGGGAGTTGGGAGAGTGGTCGAATGAGCTGTTAACACGTATTGACAAGTTGGTTGGGTCCACGGTTTAGTCCGGTAAACCGCGGTCTAGACCAGACCAGACCAAAAGATCAAAACATAAAATAATACAGACCGTGGACCAGACCAGACCATACTTAACGGTCTACGGTCCGGACCAAACTGTGCGATACGGTTTGGACCATGGTTTTTCTAACGGTATGGTCTATTTTCCCGCCCTACGAAGGATAAACGGCCACGTACGTAGCGCGTAGAAGCCTAATGTTATGTTGAAAAGAAAAGTTGGGCATGCATGGCTTAAGGACGTGGCAATATAATTAAATTTGCACATGCATGCAAACGCCACAATCAAGTTAGGTTTGCTGGAAATGACCACATCACCCCCTCAAACCTAAACATAAAAACAATATTATTGTTTGTCCACAACAAATGACCATCCCAAAACTATGTTCCAATTCAACCAATCTAGTTTGCTTGGGATGCAAGAATGTGGAGGAGCTTTCTAGGGAAAAGAGATTAATGAAATTCATGTGTTTGACATAGTGGCGATTTCATTGATAGATAAGGAGATTAATAATTATATATATATATGTAATAATGATTTCACGAACCTGACTTCTATATATATGATCGTGTAATATTCTTTTTCTTTATATATTTCACGTGTCAATACAATAAAATCCTACATAATTTATTAAAAATTGTAATTTCCTTGATATATAATAAATTCTCGAAAATATATTGAGCAATAATATTACGATAGAATTATAATTTGAATATGACGATAAGATACACTTTTTTTTTTTTGAATTTACAATTCCCTAATTGCAAGAAAAGAAGTCCTTTAACTTGCTAATGCAAAAGGAACAATCCCAAAGAAAAGTCATTGAAAATGCAAGCTACACTAACACAATATACCACCCAAAAATAAAATTTAATGCTTGCAAATTACACACTCCAAATAAAACCTTCCTTTACTTTACTCCTTTTTCCCTCCTTTGACATATAGCTCTATTGAATTATTAGTAACTTCCTCAAATAGCTCTATGATCAATCAATCATATGAGTCATTCAAGAAAACAAGGATCTTGTCCCCCCCTCCCTCCTCCCATATATGAATCAACCCCAAATTCATCACTAGCCCAAACTCTCTCTCAAAAGCTCCTTCACTAATTTTCTCCCCTTCTTATAACATTCTCACAATCCCAATTCATTTCAAACCCAAAAAAAGAGAAAGAGAGAAAATCCCCCACCCCAAATCCCAATTTTACACAAGCAAATCCCAATTCCACTCCTCAAACTTTCACCACACAAACACAAACAAACCCATCCTCCCTCCCATCCAATGGAGATCGACCACCGTGGCCGCCCGGCCGAAACGAGGTCAACGTCGGTCCTCCAAGCCGACGAGACGTTCTACAACCGCGTCATCTCACGTGACTCCACCTCCTCCTCCTCCGCCGCCGCCCGCTGCCCTTCGAGCCGGGTGTTCTACTACCGGTCGGCCGCCGAAGGGGTGCCGTTCAATTGGGAGACTCAGCCGGGGACACCTAAGAACCCCCCCAAAGAGGAAGCCATCCCTCCCATCAGCCCTCCTCCCGCCGTCCTCAGCCTCTCCCTCCCTAAACCGTCCATCATCAACGACCACGTCAATGCCAACGCCGGTGGAAGAAGAGGAGGGTATAGTAATGCTCGCAGGCTGAAGTTGTTGTGGAGGTTCCTCGTCGGGAAAGGCAGCGCGAGACGACGCCGGTTGTACGGCCATCATCAGAGTACGACGACCCAGGTACTAACGTGAATCAATTCATGGCTTTTGTTAGTGCGTGATACAAGATCCCGTTCAACTTATCCCAATAACTCCGATTATTGGGATTAATTCATTTCAGTGATATAATCTCCGTTTGTTAAGCATATGTATCTATGCATAAAAAAAATTGTGATTACCTATGCAAATTTTCAAACTCATATGAGTAGACAGTGTTTTTAAAATTGTAACGTACATGTGGTTTGATTAAAAAAACATTCTATTAATCGATAAGCGATTTTAACAGTATGAAATTGTTGAAATTTTTCTATACAAATTTAGGTATTTTTTTCCAATTCTTAATTTAAAGTAACGTATTAGTGTGTGGTATAAGATCTATTATTGGATCCACTATTAATTCTGGAAAGTTTGCCAGGTGAATGTTTGATTGATTGACGTGTGAATAGAACCAATTTTTTGCAGGGAAGAAGAAGCTTGGAGAACGTTAACAATAAGAACACAAGGAGGAGTTGGGATGATCAGGCAGGGGATTCCATAGCTTCCCCGCGCGATTCCAGCTTCTCGTCGTCGGCGATATCACGTTCTTCCTCCAACGACGACGGATATTCCAGGCTTTCGTCGAACTCCGACGCCAGCTCCGGCAGCCCCAGGAGCCGGAGGGAGACCGTCAATAGTAACAACAATGACTACGGCCGCGGTTGTGGCGGTGGTCGGACATGGAACATCAATTCCATGCTCGTTTGTGTTTCTGGCAAGATCTGACCCGGTCGACTCGGCCCAACCGGATTCGGTTCAGACCCGAGTTTTAATGTTTATTTGAAATATGTCTGCAAATTAATTACTTTTATTGTAAAGAAATTCATATGATATATATAATAGCCCTGTAAAAAATGTCTATATAGGCATACTTGTCATGAAGACCTTGTTGATTCATGGATGGCCTTTTGTAGTAATATTATATATAGAATATAGTTAATGTAATGTACCCAAGATATGCTTATATGGCAAGGGCAACAATATCTATATATGTATAATTAACTTATAACCATCAAAAGAAAAACATGTCCTATAGAGATTACACAACATAATTGTAGTTTTATTTATACCCGTCATTGCACAATAAATATTAATAAAAGTTGCAAAAGAACTATAAAAAAATTCGTATTATTCCTTGTTCTATATTGTTGTTAGTTGTGAGCGGAGTTAAATATTGAAATGAGATAAAAAAAAACAACAAAAAACGGTGAGATTTTTGTTAAATCGTCTCTTAATCATGTATGAATAACTCGAGTGGTGGTCAAACAAATAAGAACTAGTGGGTAGCTATTACCAATTTTGTGTTGTGTTAATAAAAGTCTACAAATAATACAAGGAATAAGAATTAGAATTAATGTCGACATGTGGAGACCAAATGTTTAGGAGTAGACAATGACGTGGTCAACATCATACCACTAATCAAACTAATGAACGCTTGAATTGAACTGCATTGGATTAATGTAGGGAGGTTGATTCAGTTTTTGAGTTTTAATTTACAATCTTTTTGTGTCATTCCCGTCTACGGATAGAAATTTGTACATTATACTTATAATATAGATAATTTATAATTATTTCTTTCTATAATTTGGGGAAAAAAGGTTTACCGATCCTTAATATTATTCCTCATTCTCTCTATACATTTCAAATACATCCTACAACAAGAACGGAAAAAACTGCATCAAACACGCGATAGATAGAAAGAGTTACGATTTCGATCCTACCTTATCCTGATTCCCCAACTAGATAACTACTAATACATCTTAATTAGGAACTAACCTCAAATGCAAAGAAGCAAATTAATAAGTGGCTATTATAACATACTATAAGCATTAATGAAAATTCCACCTTTATACTAAAAGTAGGCAATGAAATCCACGGCAAGTGGGATTCCCCCAAATCCCAAGTCTTTGTTACTTCCTCCTCTGGGGGATATATTATCTACACATTCACAATGTTGCCTATTTCTCAGTTAACAACCAATTCCAGCAAGTTAGAGATTTCTCTGCCTATTAATCTGGATTACTAGCCCTCTTAATCACTCTGCTAATCACTCCCTCCCTCTCCAACAACGTTATTAATTTATTATTATTCTTATTACTATTATTAAAAGAAAAAGAAAAAGCTCTAAGTAATAATGGCGATGGAGCTGATCAACAACAAATCGAGAAGAGAAAAGAGAACCATCATCTCACTCTACCAACTAAACCCATCCTTCTACAACAAGATCGTCTCCCGGCGCTCCTCCGTCGGCGACTCCGACCAAATCACCCGCGGCGGGGTTCCTTTCGTTTGGGAGATTCAGCCAGGGAAGCCGCGGATCCCGCCGAAATCGTTACCGCAAACGGCGCCGCGGCTGTCGTCGGCGTCGTCGCTCAGCCTGAGGAACCTACCCGGGGTTTCCGGGCGGAAGAGGAGCTTCCTGGCGAATCGGATCAAGAAATTCGGATCCGGAATTTCGGATCTGGTGGTGGGGAAATTGAAGAGGGTTCCGGATCGGATCCCGACGAAATTGACGGCGGGGCAGAAGGAGATGGTGAGGGGGTTTTTCTGGAGGAACGTGAATCGAGCGCACAGAAAGCTGAGGATCGCCGGGAGCTTCTCCGGGAGGAAGATCCGGCAGGTGAGGGCTCGGGTTTCGCCGGGATCGCCCCGTGAAGGTGGGCGCCGGATCCGGGAGTATTTCTCCAGGAACGCGAAGTTTCTCCCGGAGATTTCTCCTTCTTTCTCGGACTTCTCCGGTTCCGTCAGCGGGGGTTCTTCTTCCTCGTCGTCATCGTCGTCGGTGAAATCGCCGGCGAAGTCGCGGTTTGCTCTGGGATCGAGCTCGGGCTTGGGAAAGAAATTGTCAGCGAAGTGGACTAAAAGCCTGAAGCTGTTGAGACGGGGAGGTAATTAGTTTTCTTAGTCAGATGATGGGCCCAAAGCCCTTTAATTAGAGTTTTTTCCTGAGTTAGTTGGGCCTGGTAACCAAGCCCAGTGCGCAAGCACATGTACAGTGTAAGCCCATAGAACGGTTCGGAATAAGAAAGTCAAAGGACTCTTGAATTTTTTTTTTTAATTTATACTTGTGAGAGGGACTGAAATTGATTAGGTTCTTACGACTGATATGGTTTGTAATCTGCTGTTGAACAAGTAACGTGCCTAGAAAATCATATTTGTGTTGGTTAGTGATATGAGATAGAATTAGTATGTAATCCTATGACTCCATGCAATTAGTGTAAATTATTAGAATTAAAATGTGTCTGTTTATTATGATTTTGACTTTTCGTCTTAGATAAAAGATGAAACTAGTTACAATATATTTCCATCTAATTGGTACAAATATAGGATGCAACATAGCTTTCCAAGATTTTCATTAATCTCGTCGATGAAATCAACACTATATAAAATTAGTCTCCCTTCTTAGAAAGTTCCTTCATACTCTTGGGACTCAAGCAAGCTAAGCTAGATTGGTTGGATTCGAACACAATTGGAAATGTTATTGCCGATGGATAATATTTTTGTTTAGGGTTTGAAGGATGATGTGATTATTTCGAAAAACCCAGCTTGATATTGGCATTTGCATGCATGTGGCGACAACAATAATAATTTATTGAATAACTAGAAAAATTCGTTTCAAGTTGATCGAAAGAAGAAAAAAAAACTTTAAGGGCAAAACTCTATTTCAAGTTCTAAGGTTGTGTTAGATAGATCCATCACATCTTCTCAATTTCCTCGATCACAAAAGACGTGCCTACCGAATCAAGAGAGCCACCGAAAAAGTAACGCATCAATTCATAAGGTATGTTTAGCATTGGTGATCCTTCTTGACACTGCATCTTTAAGGTCTTCAATGGGAGAGGCTTCTTGCTCCACAAGCACCGACTTCAGTTCATTAAGGACATAGTTCAGACACACATCAGATACCTGATCGAGAAAAAACTATAGTTATATCAACCAGCGAGTCGGACAATCGAGGACACCAACAATAAGCATGGTAAACTATCACAAACATGCAAGTATTCTTTAGAGCCGATTGTGCATATAAGAAGCTGGCTAGGGTATATGTGTTTCTATTTTATAAAGGGTGGCATCAGTTTGTTTTTATGGTGTTATGCTACTAAGAAATTTAAAATTGAAACCTTCATATTAAAGACCGAGTTCGGATTGGAATTTTGATTCACGTGAAGAAGAAATCTATTTTTTTCTGGTTCTAAGACCAGCAGTTCTAGCAACCAACTCGCCAAAGAGCAACTCTTCTCAAAAGGTGCTGAGTTGGAATCCCATTCTAACTAAGGATTCTTGTGGTTCCGGAGGATCCAGCTACAGGAAAACCAGGAATGGAGAGCTTCCCCCCGCCCCCGCTCGCGTTTTAGCAAAAGCTGCGCTCCGCGGTCGTATCGATTGGTTGAAAGGCCTGAAAAAAAAATGTTGTTCTAGGTGGGGGCCGGGAATGCCCGACTTATCAATTTATCCGGTAAACTGCTGGGAGCTCATGTAGCTCATGCTGGATTGATCGTATTCTGGGCTGGAGCAATGAACCTATTTGAAGTGGCTCATTTCGTACCGCGTAGAGTTAAAACAAAAAAATTTTTGTTGCCTTTTCGATGTTTCCTGACATTTTCAATAAAACCCTCTCGAAAAAGTACTTTAATAATATTTTCGGTGATGTTCGTAGATGCTATTCGAACGGGTCCTTTTCTATTCATTACTAGAAAATGGAATCCAAGAATGGCACCTTATATCTCTGCAAAGCATAAAGGTATTCCCTTCGCGCAAATTGCTTTGAATGGGTAAATCAATCATTTGGCCTTGTGGATCCGACATTAATCCTCTCATACCTACTAATTGGTGTACTTGAGATGCATTTCCCCTAGCTCCAGAAAAAGACCTCTCCTAGAAAGAAACTCGTAAAACCAACTCCATTGATAATTCCATCAATTACTCGTCTATCAAAAAAATGAGTAAATTTCGCAAATGTTCTTACCCCCTCACTTAATGATTTTTCATAAAAGGTATCTATGTAACCACGATTATAGGACCAATCGTAATTTCGAAAAGTTATAAGAATTATTGATAATGATAAAAGAGCAAACTTGAATTCATTTTCCATTGGTGGAACGCCATACATCACGAAAAAAAGCAGAGCCGTAGCGCCTGGTACTCGAACATTGGCTCGAGGCATTTTCTCTACCCCTTCTTACCCTGAAAAAGCAGGGACACCGTGCGTCCTTGAACCGATAACCATCTTTCGGCTAACCTAGCCTCCTCAGATCTATCAAAGCAAGTACTTATTCGGTAGGTGGTTATATCATAGTTGGCACATTTTTTTTCTGTTATAAAGAGTTGGCACATTTCTTAATCATCGTCTTGCCAAGTCAAATGCGTACCTGAAAGAAGCCGTCGAAGCAGAAGATGAGCGATTCACGCCAACGAATGTCGATGCTTGCGTGATCCAAGGCAGGAAGGTTTAGCAATGGGTAGATTTGAGCTCTGGAGCAGAAATTCTAAACTCTGGAAACCATGGCCTTTTAATTTCCAGGTGCGGTCCCGACAATACTAAGCCACGCACATAGATTCAAGTACTTCAAACATGAGAAACCGGATGCTCCACTATCGAAGATTATCCATAAAATTTATATCTTTTGGATCCAGATATACCACTAAAACTTTAAGCTCTGCAGATTAATGGTTGAATCTTGGGATAAAAGAAATCTGTTGAAACCGGATGCTCCACTACCGCACGAATTTACTTTTGTCGTATACTCCGTAAAAGGCCTCGTACTAATGAGTTTTGTGTAGACTGATTCCTTTGGGAACATCCGATAAAATTGGAATGATACATAATCTTGCAAATTGATTATCGTCTCGCCTAATCCACGAACGAGGCCCCGATACTTTACGTCAAAGGAAAGAAGAAAAGAAGCCCAATACAAGAAACACAGCTAAACAAGGCCTACACACATGTACTCGGATGTACGTAGGATTGCAAATGAGTCGAGTTGCTCGCGAGCGGCTCGACGTTCGATTCGAGAAAAGCTCGTTCGAAACTCGCCTCGTTAATAAACGAGCCGAACATGAGCTAAGCTTTGTTCGACTCGGTGGCTTGTTGAGCTAAACTCGTGAGCTGGCTCGTTTAGAACTTTGTGATATGTCTCAACATGTGGTTAGAGAGCCAACTCGATTACCGACTGATGGACGAATCAATCTATATCTTATGATTTTAATTCATATGGTTGTTAAATTATATATCTCGCCATATATAAAGTTTAACACGTTGAGTATGTGAGTAAATATATCTTATTTTATATTTTAAAAAGAAATTATGTTTCATAGATTGTTTCGATACTATGAAATAATATGATTTGCCGTAGTTAAAATTTATTAAATGATATATGATTTTACAGAAAATAGCTAACAAAATAAAATTATCAAATAAAAATCAATATTTTAGTAAACAATGAGCTCGAGCTCATAAGCCCAATAGAACAAGGAGCGCCAGCGCCAAATGCTCGGAGTCGGAGACCCTCCAACGGCTAGTATACAACGGCTAGTATCCAACGTTCAAAATTAAACTTTATAAATTTATTCTTCCTACACTCCTCTTCCCCAATATCATCGTCTCCATTTGCTTCCTCCCGTATTCCTACTCTGCCCTCTCTCTCTGTTTCTCTCCCTCACTCTCCCTCTGCCGCTCTCATCCTCCAGTTCTCTCTCTCCGGTGCTTCACTCTGCCATCTACCTGGAGGCGGAGGCAACCTTCACATCTGCTGCAAATCGACCCATACAGCCAATTCTTTCCCACTTTCTGTAGATTTGAACAATGATGCAGGATACGTGGACCGGGCCACCCGGCTTCCGACCGACCAAATCTGCGCCTTCTTCGCCGGCGAAGCCACTGGCCATATCAAGAACTCGCTCGGATTCATTTCACGCCATTCATAAAGTCCCTGTAGGGGACACTCCGTACGTGCGAGCTAAAAACGTCCAGGTGAGAATCGAATTGAAACATTTGACTGGTTTTTTTCTTCGTGTTGGGGTTAAATCGTATAAATAAGCCTCTGTTTTTTTATCGGGTTTCCTTTTTTGTGGGTTGAATGGTGATCAGTTGGTGGAGAAGGATCCGGAGAGATCAATTCCCCTGTTCTGGGCCGCCATAAATGCAGGGGATAGGGTGGACAGCGCGCTGAAAGATATGGCGATTGTGATGAAGCAGCAGAATAGGGCTGAAGAAGCCATTGAAGCCATCAAGTCGTTGAGAGTACGGTGCTCGGACCAAGCCCAGGAGTCTCTCGACAACATTCTTTTGGATCTCTACAAGGTAAGCATATATATATATATATATATATATATATATATGGTTTCTGAAATCCGTTTTCACGGACGTTTCTTCCATGTACTTCTTTTACTGATTGGGGTTTTTGTAAAATTCTCATCGAATACAGAGATGCGGGAGATTGGATGATCAGATCGGTTTGTTAAGACACAAGCTTTGCCTAATCCAACATGGAATGGCTTTCAATGGTAAACGCACCAAAACCGCCAGGTCTCAGGGGAAGAAGTTTCAGGTCTCTGTAGAACAGGAAGCAACTAGATTACTGGTACGTGTGTATTTAATTCTTTCCCCTCCTCCAAATTAACTGCCAAACAGACCTGGATTGGAATTTAACAATTAGAAAGATTGGATTTTGATCGGTTTTTTCAGGGAAATTTGGGATGGGCATTGATGCAACAAGACAAGTACACAGAAGCAGAGGACGCATACAGAAGGGCACTTGCAATCGCACCAGACAGCAACAAAATGTGCAACCTGGGGATATGCCTGATGAAGCAAGGCCGAATCAACGAGGCGAAGGACACTCTCCGGCGAGTGTCCGAGGGTCCCCGGGGGATCGATTCCCATCTCAAGGCCTACGAGAGAGCTCAGCAGATGCTTAAGGACCTGGAATCCGAAATGATGAACAGCGGGGCAGGGGATGTAGCTGAATGGAGCAGATTGTTCAACGCCTTTCTGGGCTCCTCTTCCATTTGGCAGCCCCAGCCTTGCAAATCATCGTCTCGTCAGGATGATTTCGGCGATGAAAATATCAACAGGCCCAATACCACAGTGACTAACAACAAATTACCACAACAGAAGAAGATGGTGAAACAGCAGCTGGCATCGTGGAATGTGGATGCCCCGCCGTTCTATTCAGGGAAGCAGAATCAAGTTCATGAGACTCTGAAGCGGACAAGGTTGCCGGATAGTAAGGATTTTGAGGATGCTATTCTGGCGGCAGTTCTGGGTCCTGTTTCTTCATCGTCGACTAAGGATGGGCAAGGGAAGCCGCCGCCGGTGCCGCTTGTTGAGTCTCAGGGGTTCAAGGTTGAGAAGAGGCTCAAGGTTTTCCGAGACATTACTCTGTCCCTCAGCCCACGAGCCTGACTGGACTGACTACTACTGGATTTGACTTCATACTCTCCTGCTGCAACATTTATTATAGGCCAAATTGCTGGCCATTAGTGCCCCAATTTTTTTTTCCCTTTCTTTTTTTAATTTATATTCTAATCTTGAAGGTTAAGGTAGTAGTAGTAGAAGAGTAAGGAAGAATCTCAGGTTAAGATTTGGGAGGGAGAAGATAAACTTGTTCTCCTTGACCACCACTTTACTAATTGCTGGCCATTCTTTTACGGTGTTAGCCCTTGTGGAATGTGGAATAAGAAAGAAAGTCAACGAACTCACTTTTATCTATTTTGGGTCGTTTGTTTGTTGGATTTGGGTCTAGATTTGGGTCTGGATTTGGTATCCAAATTCCAAGTTTGATGGATTTAACATAAGTTCATTGTTTGTTGAAGAGTGCTAAATCCGTGAGGTCCACGGACTTGTAAATCCCACATATTGATTTTGGATTTGCAAATTCTTGATGGTTAGTTATTTATTTAACAAATCCATCACAAATCCATCATCAAATCTATCATGCAAACATTAGACTCTTCAAATCCATAATCCAATAAATCCAACATAAATCCCAAGGTTTTTATTGGCAAAAACCCTCATTTTTCAAATCCAACAAGCAAACGACCCCTAATAATTTTGAGATAGGGTCTTTTTTTTGTGATTCACATAAAAAAATAAGAGAATAAGAAAACATACATTTACGTTGCATTCGTGATTAGGAAAAACTAGTTTCTCTTTATCTTTTGAGAATGGTACATAATAAAATGATAGTTTCAGAAAGTTCAAACATGAATCGTTTTTGAAACCACAAATGGGTAGATCAAACAACGCTAGATCAAAAGTGTCGCACCTATCCATCCGAGCCACCAAATCAAACATTTGTCCTCTATATTTCAACTTGTCAGTCGAACAACGAAACACTCGTTACTCTCATTTATATGACACAAACATAGTTCGAGTTTAGGTTAGTGATAATGTGACAGATCAAATTTTCCACTTGCAACCCCATGAATGTAATTTTCATGCATGTTTATCCTTTTTCCTATATGCAATTTTTTATATAAATAAGTTTACAAGACAATTGGGAATTTGGATCAACTTGACAATTCCCTCACTAGTCCAGCATGATTTTTGTTTGTGTCCGGCCGACGGTGATTCCAGATCCGCGACTAATATATATGACGTTTGATCTTAACAACAAACAACGGCGGCCGTAGAAAAAGAAAGGACGAAGGATTATTAATTATTGTGTCCCTTATCGCCCATTCACAAGTTCTTGTTGATGATCATTAAGTTAAAAAGATAAAGACGATTAGGCATATTTTTCTAAGAACAAGATTAGCCATTGCATGTGGGGGTATTTGGTTTAAGTTTTATTTGAACGATGATATCTTAAATTTCGAAAGTAATATATCTAGAATTAGAATTGACGACTGAATCGATTTTGGAGTATTTCCTAATTTTAATTTTTCAGGATTTGTGAGTTGTGACATGTTTTGTTAAGGACAAATGTTAAATCTAGCTAGTATTATATTTAGAGCTTCCAACATGTTATAGAATCTAAGTGAACGCATGAGTAATTTTCATTTATGTTGGGTATATGAAGCTAGCTAGTTATAACTATAGAAAATGTGTCATATGGTTATTCATAAAAATGTATTTAATGCAATTTTAGTTCATTATATTATACTCAAATTTTATTGTAGTCAACCGTCAAAATCGATGCAGTGAACCACAACCGCACCAATTCACAATGCTATGGAGATGAGATATATGCACTATGGCCTCCGAGCACTCTCCGGTTCAAGATTAAACAATTCTACAATAGGATTTTTCTAACTAATTAATGAGTAATTAACTATTGTTAGTTCCACGCCTCAATTGTTCTAGCATATTGCAAGCTTAATCTCCAGGGTTGCCATTACGTCGCTTGCATAAATGGACAACAGCAAATAAAGGTATTTGGAATTTTGGACGGGCGAAGATGTATTATTCAACTTCTATTAGCTAGCTACAATAATAATTTGGAAAAAGTTCTCATCCGTGGAACAATACCATTTGTCTCACCATCCATGTATACCATCTCTATTTTCAAGCAACTTACTAATTATTCACTAACATTCACTTATATTCACCCACATAATTTATTTATTCATCCAATTTATAAGTGTATGAGAAAACTGATTAATGATAGGTACATGAGATTAATGAGTATCCCCAATCCTACCTAACATGGTAGAAATGGGTAAAACCTAAGTTGACGAGTTTTTGGTTGGATGGATGTTTATTTGTTTTTAAATTTGGTGGGTTGGGATTGGATTTTACCAAAACATATATGCTTTCCACCGTACCCGTACCTAAAATAACATTAACAATATGCATAATATATTAATGTCATTAGTATTTATAATAATATAATACTAATAATATGAGTAACTTATAGATATTATTATTAGTCTTTACGAAAATATATTTGTTAGAAATATTTTGATAATATTATGATGTGTGTTTTCGGAGCGATTATATTCGTAAGCCCATGAGCACCTGTTGGATTGGGTTGACTTTTCGCCTCTATAACGTAACCCAATTTATATTTTATCTTTTTTTATTGCAGGTGCACCCACTAATTTTGATTTGAATGTAGAGTAATCGATCCAACCCATCTCAACTCATTGTCATCTCTAATTATATATCTTCAAATTCATTATTCTCGGCAGCAGTGCTCCCCTCGTCCCACTAAACAAACCACTAAAGACATTGTTGTCACCACAACATAGTAACATGTTGGTGAAAGGAACACATCATCATTTCTATGTGTACAATCAATCCTAAATGTCTGTCCCAATCTGAAATAGCTCCTCTCTACAGCAAGTTTTTTGACATGATGGTGATGAGGATTGAGGATGATCACCAATCCTCTAGCTGAGCTACTAAGCTAGATCCACATGTTCCTGCTAGAGATTTGGCACAGTAAAAAAAAAAAAAAGACAAGTTGCTGCATCTTCTTCTTTTACTTATCACTGCATGCAGGCATCAGTCAATCATGGCCAGTAATGTTACAAACCAACCTGGACCCTAGCTTGCATGAATGAGGTAACAAATACCTTGTTCACACACAAACAAGGCTCAATAAGTGTCCTTTTTTTTTTTTAACTTTGAAATCCCCACTAGAAATGAAACAAAAGTACTAGAGTTTCCATTCCATTGATTTAACTTTATGGTCCCAACAGGCCATATCTAGTAATCCTCCAAGTGGTAGTAACATCTCTCAATTTTAGGGGGCCATATTAGTGATAGTAATTGTTTGCATGGGTTTTCATTTTCTTTGCTACCTGTTTGCACGATGCTACCATTTGTCTTATCATGTCTAGGAATGGAAATAGGTTTACATTTGGGCCCGGTATTTGAATATCCATATTCGTCATCCGCATCACTATTTTAGAGAGTAGAATAAGCTCATGTTAATTACATCAATCATTATGTTTGATCAACAAAATTGGTTGCAAGAGGATGAGGTGAGAACATAACGAGTTTAGATACCGAAGAGGTTAAACCAAAAAAGTGTAATTGTCATTTGTCAATGTCATTTTATAATCTAATGGACTTATTCAAAACAAATTAAAGTTAGGTCTAAAAAAGTGGATCTGAGTAAGATCTCATAATTTTCTATAAAATCAAATGAACAATTAAAATGTTTAACACAATTTTCATTTTTACCAATCTATCGATCAATAGATATATGATGAACTACTAAAATGATCATTTCAACCAAGTATGACTTAGTTGTTTTGAACTAGCGAGTAGAAAGTATAGAGCTAAGACTCTATATCACATATATTCCTAGGCTGAAATTTTCTTTTCCTTTCATGAATTTGAGTCCATTCATTTAATATTCATTTAATGATATAGCAATTTCCGTGGTGTACGTACGATTGGAAATTCGTGTTTTGGGTTGAAAATTTAATGTTGGTGGAAGCAAAGGGAGGAATGGATTCTCAATTTACGACCATTAATAGCCCCCGTGATTTTTCATTCCGTATAGCATATATATTAATCCAACTATATTTATTCTTTCGGAATTATTCTAATAAAAATGCCGATCCCTTTGCATATAGCTTCATTATCTTGTGTTTATGCAAATGTTAATATCGAGACTTTCCTTATTCAATATTCATATTTCAAGTAGAAATTAATTAAACCAATTCAACTTAAATCATGAGTTAAATTTGAAGGCTAGGTTACTCATTCTAACAAACATACCTTATACATAGCATTTTACTATTCACCCAACTTGTACTACTTAATACTTATACTAATTGTTACTTTGTGGTTTAAATTGAAACTTGAGGACCCATGAAAAATGAGAAGGAACGAAAAAGCATATATTCGAACTTGAAAGTCATATAGGCAAAAGAAAATATGTTAATGTTTGAGACTTGATACCCTTTGCCAGACTCCCCTGAATCCTCTTTCGCCAGGCGCCTATCTGCACACACTAACAAGGAGGGGGCGCCTTGGCCAGTTAATCCTCCGACGCCCAAGTTAGTTTCTAGGAAGAGAGAAGTGTCTCAAAGCTAGAGTTTGTGTGAGAGAGTCCAACCTGCGTAAATGCTACCGACTGCCCCTATTTATACTTACCAGAGTTCGAGGTTGATCCTCTCTGCCTCCCTGCCTTCATTCAATGCTTTTGTCTCTTTCTGGCCAGACATCCAACCACCTTGTTAGACTCCTGGCACGTGACAGGCGCCCGCAAGCGCTGGACCACATGACAGCCTGGCCCTTGATGATGACACGTGGCACGCTACACGCATCTATCCTCCTGCTCTTCCTTTCCTTTAAATACCCCCCTTCCCCCTCAGTCCTTGTCACTTTCCACATTCTCGCCTCTCTCTAAGATTGTTGCTCTGACTTCTCTCTAGATTCTCTCTGACATCTCTCTAGATTCTTCTGCTTTCGTCAGCTTTTCCGTCCATACGTCCAAGCATGACTTCGCAAGGAGACAAAGTTGTCGGCCAAGGCGCCTCCCCTGTTGGTGAAGAGACTAGACCAGGCGCCTCTAACGCTGGCGGCGAGGCAAGGCGCCCCAGTCGAAGTGGTAAGGAATTTTCTTGCTCTACTAGTTGCGTTCCTTATTTTTATTCTAGTTCTCTAGGGTAGGGCGTCACTTACTCTGCGGCCATATTGCGCCTGGGTCGTTTATTGGTTTAGAGAGGGCGCCTGGGTCGACGTCCGCGGGTCCATCAAGCGCCTCCACCCCGGGCTTCATGCCCGCCGATGGATCTTACAAGATATCCGTGTGGGAGAGCTCGTTTCCGCCTGATCATCTCCCGACGGAGACGGAGTCGTTGTCTTTCGACGTTGCGGGTCCACAACACACCTCTACCGTCACCTTGGCTCGTGTTCATGAGCTAGTGACTAGCCTCCAACTGCCCCGTGATTGGTGGTATGCGCCTCCCTCCCCTATCGCACGAGTGGGCGTCTGTGGGCCTAAGTGGATAGGGGTGTATCAAGAGTACTTCCGCTTTGGGCTGCGGTTCCCCCTTGACCACATCATGGAGGGGATTATGACGACCTGTGGCTGCCCATTGGGGCGCCTGTCTCCTTCGGTGATCATGGTGGTCATCCTCTTCAAGCTGCGCTGCCGCGAGCATAACGTGGAGCCTACCTTTAATCTTTTCCGATATTTTTTCAAGATGGCGGCTCTGGATAACTGCTTGTCACTTCAGAAGAGGAAAGGGCGCCCTTATCATTTTGTAGAGAAGTGCCCGAAGTTGGGGCGCAGCTGGTTCAACGGATTTTTCTTCATGAAGGCATATCGGGACTCGTTTTTTTAGAGTGGGGGCGCCTTCTTGAGAGAGTGGGCGCTGGGGAGTGTGGAGGAGTTCAACAAAGACGTGAAGTTGTCTCCCACAGAAAAGGCAGGCGGCCCGCTGATTTGCGAGACGCGCGTAAATTTGCGCAAGACCGTGAATCGTCCTCCTATTTTGGAGGCGTATTATGATGATGGTCCGTAGGCGCCCATATGTTGTGCTAACGTTTTTCTTGCCTTGTCCTGTTGTCGATGAATGTTTGCTGTGGTGCTAACTCATTTAACGATGTGCAGGATCAGACTTCACCAGCATCGCGAAGCTCATGAAGAGCCGCCTTGCTGCCATGGCTGGGGGAGCGCCCCCACCACCAAGGCCCAAGGCGCCTGTTCCGGCTGCGCCGGAACCGCAGGCGCCTACTGCTGCCCCCAAGAAAAAGAAGAAGAGGGCAGTGAAGGGGGGTACCACGAAGACTGCCAGCGTGGCCTCTTCAGCACCGGAGGAGGAGGAGGAGGCGCCGCACGTAGAGGCGCCCACTACAGAGCCTGCGGAGCAGAAGGGGAATTCCGGGGAAGAGGAGCCCGAGCCCCTAGTTAGACGGGGGAAGCGGGCTGGGTCCCCCTTGGGCAATGTCAGCAAGAAGGCTGACAAGGGGAAGGAGAAGATGGACGGCGGCGCCCGAAGTGGGGGAGGGGGCGCCTTCGAGTATCATCTTACCGAAGAGGGGCAGTGGGTAGGCCCCGACGGGCGCCCCCCCCATTTTCCAGCCCACACGCGCCGATGTTGGGCGCATTGAGCTGCCATGCTCGCCGCTGGTAGCTGTTGACCAAGGCTGTGCCATGGGCATGGCCATTACGGCTGCCAAAATGTGGCCAAGTGCCGTCGGAGGTGAACGGGGATCACCTATTTGCTGAATTGGCGAAAGTGGGCGCCAAGGTACGTTCACCGTTGTTTGTGTTCTTGATTGTTGGGTTTTGTTAAACTTTGCACAAGTAGTAACTCTTTGTGTTTTGTGTGTGTAGATTCTTCTCTTTGCTGAGAGAGGCGCCCGGCGCCTAAATGAAACAAAAAGAGAGGCGCTCGAAGCCTCTTCTTCGGCCTCCCAGTTGCAGCGCGACCTTGATAACGCGACGGAGCGTCGTGAGCAACTTGTGAAGGAGTGCG